CGGCCTGCGTTTCCCCGGACCCTCCCTGTTCCAACTGTACCCAAGACCAACAACTGGAAACCGAAGACTCTTTTCCTGCCAATACGTACCTAACATGGACATGCAGTGACGGATTCACTATGGAAGGTGATGCTGACGCCGTCGTTTGGGTTTGCGGAATAAATGGAGAGTGGCTGGGTGACAAGCCTAATTGCTCAGGTAAAGTTTCGTAACAATAACTGGTATTCGTAAAACCCGTGGAGAATTCAAAGAGACACATTAGACCTGCAGCCTGCCTCCCCCTTCATTGCGTTAACCATTCGACATGCATAAAGAGCACAACTCCAAAACTCTGCCGCCCTCCCCTCTTCGAAGTGATGCCTTTGCTTTCTTTCTCTCTTGTTCTTGCTATCAGTGAATTTTGGAGGAAAAAAACAAGAAATATGATCATTTTGTTTTGCTTGTCACAAATTTTATCAAATTTGTCCTCCATATTTTTCTAAATGCTTGATCCGCCCTTCCGCACTATTTTCAGTCCGGGCTTAGAATTTCGTCTAGTATAAAGCGCCAAATGTCGACCTCACAGTTCTGTCCTGAAAACTATCCAAACATATATAAACATTTTTCTATGATTGTTATGACTGAATGAAAAACAAAATTATTTCCGCCTATATGAAATTTGTTTATGTCATTTTATGACAGGGTACATTTGATATTTTGATTCATATAAATTTGTTACGTAATGGCAGATTTGTTATGAATAAAGAGCTCTATAATTTGTGACCAACAAGAAAATGGACTAAATAAACTGTAGCCTAAACTTGTCCATCTTCCTAGAAATACGCCAGTGCTAATCATTTTAACATTCATCTTAAAAAAGTTCTAAATCGTTCAACCCCTCTAAAGTGAAAATTGACTATGTTCCCCCTGTTTCAAGTACTTTGTATGAAAAATATAAACCGTAATTTTATCTTCGAAATGCAGTAATGACGTGTTCCAGTCCTCCTATCCCAGCGAATGGTCTGGTAGTGAATAGGACTCTGGGGAACTACTACACACCTGGTGATGCGATCCAATATACCTGCGATACGGGCTATAACTTAAACAACACAGAGACAACCAGCACTTGTCTGTCAAATGGAACATGGACCTATATGGAACCGTTTTGTAAAAGTAAGCGTTTATATTTACTACAATATCTCACATTTCGATATACATAACAGCTCAGTTATACCCTAGTAGTTTAATCATTTGTGGCAGTAATTGTCTAGCCTCTTTACTCTTCAACCCTTTTCCATTTCTTTCCTTTCCTTCGCCTTTCTTCGTATTTCATTCACTCTCGTTGTAATACAATATATTTATAGTGTATTATCTTATCAGGTCTATCAAAAACAAGCGTATGCTTTTTTAGGATTTGCGCTTTCTTCCTTTTCTTAAAAGTTTTACTAGACAGTATAAACTATTTTTGTGATATAACAAATTAATAAAAAATTGAAGAAAATTTTACTACAAATTACTTTGAATAGAACAAACTGTTTGTAGTGGTATAGTCATGATATTGGAAAAGTCATCGGGTAGTATCGTATGACCCACTGTTTGAGTCCAGCATAGGCAATACAGTCCTCTGGCAAAGCATATTGCCAATTTTAATGTAGGATATAACACAAAAAATGGGGCACTGTTAGGATTGGAAATAGAATATTGTAATTTTCTTTGCCATCGCCCTACTTGCAAAGTATTCAACATTTAAGAGGGAATGTCAATGTCAATGTATCCTGCTCTGATCAAGGAAATGTGTCATTGGCAATTCTTTTTCATGGGAGTAAGCCTTATAAAATATATCGATACTTTTAACCAGAGTAACATATCTATACTTTCGGAATCTCTTGGTTTATAGAATGGAGAAGAAAAAAAACATTTCACCGCTTTTCTCTTCTTTCGCTTTCCCAGATATGGGACGAAATATCAACTGACCCGTACTTTGAAAGATGATTTTAAATGGTCCTATGGCATGAGTTAAAGATCAGGCGCAATTTTCATGTACTGTACGATGGTGGAACAGAAATATGATATTTTTATTTTCTGCTTTGTTTGTTTGTTTGTTAGTTTGGTATCCGATTTTACTTTTAAAGTCCAGTGCCTGGATGGTCAAATATCTTTTCCGGAACGAAAGTCATGCTTTAATGTATCTGCCGAGGAAATGATGAGGGACGAGGCCAGGAAGAACTGCAAGGGAAAGGGAGGCTTTCTAGCTCTTGTAAAAGATGATAAAACCCAATATTTTCTCAGAGACAATTTAGTGATCAATGAAGGACTCTGGGTCGGTGGAAAGGCAGGCCGACATTGGAAGTGGAGTAGTGGTAATTATATATTCCTTACCTTTTATCACAAGAATATTTTGGTAATTCGAATAATCATTTAAGGGCCCATGACATCGAAATACAAGTGTATTCCTGTTGGTGTGCAGTCCTGCATATATTTCATATTTTGATATGTAAACTTCTGAATTTGTTTCATAGATTTTTTAATATTTTTTGAAATATTTGTTTTTCAAACTTGCTAAGCTCCACCCCAAAAACCTCCAGATCTCATTCCCCTTAATATTCCCCGTAATACAATAGAAGCATACAGGTTGCTATGTCAGACATGCTGTAGCATCACCAGGAAGACAAAGGCAATGATGACGTATTGTACATATGTGTGGAAGCATGCAATTCTATTATGAACGTGTGCTAAGCTGGGGGAAATTACATACCATTGTCTATTCTAGAATATTAGTTTAGTCTGACATTTATAACATAGCAACTTATACGTTGCTATTGTTTGTGGTATTGTAACAGGTGGTCAACTTTGGCAAAGTTACATGCCACTTTCTCAATGACTGACAGATGATGTCACTGTGACAAGGGGAATGAGATCTGGAGATTTTTGGGGTGGAGCTTAGCAAGTTTGAAAAACAAATATTTCAAAAAATATTTAAAAATCTATGAAACAAATTCAGAAATTTACATATCAAAATATGAGGTGTATGCAGAACTGCACATCAACACGAATACACTTGTATTTCGATGTCATGGACCCTTAAAAGCTTAATTGTAAAAGAAATTTCGAGAGATCAATTCAAGGGAAATCTCAAACGCGTATTGCATGTAGACAATGAAAGCCCCCCAAAATGCATTTTGTTTTACGTGTAGATTTTAAAGGCATAAAGAAACTTCCAAGTCAATATTGCGCTTTAAAAGTCCAACTTTATTGCTATTATTCTAAATACCCCATAGAAACCATATCCATATCATTTTATCATTTTATTGTAATGTTCGCCCATTCCAAAATTAATTCCAGAGGGCTATTAAATAAATGCTGTATGTTGATTTTTCAAAAGTGTTAAAGATGATGATATTAGTCCAAATCTTATGTTCATCAACCGAAAGATGATTCACACACGGTTCTATATTAAGGAATTTGGGAACAAATTGCATTTACATAATATATACTTTTTTGGTTTAGACAATCTGTATTGGCATTATGAGGGGGAGAATGTTGAACTAATCTCTCAAACCCTTATTCAGGTGTCGGACCTACTCAATACAGATATCAAGAGATTTTATATCATTTACTTTTTTTCATTGGTTTAACACACATGATGATTTAAAACTAGAAGAAGAAAAAAATCGTTAATTTTCGATTGCAGTGCGGCTTTTGTCTGATATTTTTGTGTTTGTTTGTTTTATCAATTTGTTGTTTCAGATTTTTTTGATTTTTTTTTATTGTACAGACGGGAGAAACATAACTCGACTGTTTTGGAACGAGGGTGAGCCAAGCAATACCAATAGCGATGAGGGCTGTATAGAAATCAGACAAAAAATACAACAGAATGATTGGAATGATAAAGACTGTGAAAGCTTTAACGGATTCATATGTCAATTTAGTGAGTCATACCCAACATAGAAAGAAATGTTTTAATTTCGTATTCCTTATAAATGATGTCGTTGATTCGGGCAGTACCGACACAAGACACATGGGCCTCTTTCGCCAGGCACTCAAATAGAAAGAAGTAAAGTCCTAACTATTCGTATCTGACTTGTTGAGAATTCATTTTGCATTGACTTTTTGAGTTCTTAATACGATACTAAAATATAATATATGTTAAAGGTAAAGACCAGTTATGGTCATGCGATTGCATTGGGAAAGAAACGTTGTGGAATCGATCAGAAAAGGTTGATCATCTAGCATCTAGCATCTGCAAGGTTCTGGAATCATCAAAATGATAAGAAATTTGGCCCATTCTTTGTAAAGTTACCAGCACTATACACAGAAAGATGTATATGGGACTACCCTATATCTCTCACAGACCATGAGAGAAACAAATTTACCAAATATATGAATTAGTAGGCGGTTTTCCGGCAAATTTTTTATCGTCATCTATTAGTCAAAACATTCTTTCACATGATTGGTAATGAGAGCTTCCATTTCATTTTTTGAAATTGGGGCGTTTCCAATACTGGTCTTTACCTTTAATAACTCTTTTTTTTTTTTTACTATATTCTAAAATGGCCTACCGAGAATATTGTCAATTATTCTGATAAGAAGAGTTTCATCTCATTCGTCACTTTCCTATTTATATGCATGTGAATGAGATAGAAGGCCATTAATATAACCCCGAGTATCACTTTTGAGATATGTGCGAACATTTCGATGACGTATCACATAATCTGAACGTGCATTGTATAGCTTTTACAAAATGGTATTTCAATTACCCTGAGATGACTTTTCGAAAACTTTGTCACACATGTTCAGATGAAAAAAGCATCAGGATATATATATATATATATATTATCTTTCTGTCTTCCCAATAACCCTATAAAATTTGTGTTCACTCATCGTTTCTATACATAGATAGTTCAGCATGCTCCGGGAAGTATTTGGATACACACATCCACCGGGTGCTGTACCGTGGAGACTGTTACCAATTCTTTGATGACAGCTTTTCATGGGGTGATGGGAGGACTTATTGTGCAGAAATGGGTGGACACCTGGCTGAAATCCTTGATAGGAGCGCCCAAGATTTTATATCCGACGAGGTGAAGACAGTTTACGGAGATACCAACAAGCAGTGGTGGATAGGCGGACATGTGAATGGTCCGGAAGAGCCACGATCATGGTTCTGGATAGACAGTGAGTAGAAGTTCTGAATTGAATCAAGCACCATATCATACACACACAAAAAAAATATTGCATTTAATTGCTCTGATTGAAAAACTCTGTACGAAACTTTGCGTTTGTGTTTGTGTGTGTGTCTTATGTCTGTGTGTGAGTGCTCATTTTAAGTTCTCACACAAAATTTTCTGATAAATAGAATTTTGTAGATGTAGAAATAGTTTCGGACATACCACCGTAGGTTATTTTGGACCAACCGAGTGAAAAAAAAGACTTTACTGCTACCTAACCATCTGTAAAAATAGGATGTTGAATTCACTAGACTTGTGGGATGGAAAGTAGTAAATAAGTTACTAGCAAACCATCTGGGAAGCCCCTCTTTTTTGTGATCACCTGAACCATAGCAAATCGGGATAATTTGCCCATAACTGTGTCTAATAAATAAGTAATCGTTCGATTAAATTCTTTAAAAAAATGTCATCCAACTTCTTCCAAAACAATGACAAAATATTTTTGTTTCAGTGTTATGATTGAGAGAGGGAGGGGGCAGGTAAAAAGTACATAGGGAATGAATTGCAGATCATTTCAGTGAGCATGTCATCAACCTTGGGTTTTACTATGGTATTTTATATTTTTCTACAGACACAAGAATTTCAACTACCCAGTGGGCAATTGATGAACCGAACGACTTCGAGCAAAAAGAAGATTGCGTTGAACTTTCCAACTCTACCGATTTAAAATGGAATGACGAGAACTGTGGCAGTGCTAGGCGCTATGTCTGCCAGTTTGGTAACAAAATTACTTGTATTATTTAATACAGAAACCATACGAAACTGTGTCTAAATATTAACAATTTGGACTGTTTAGTGGCGGTACAATCACGACAATGAAGATAAGAGCATTTGCTTTACCAAAATGGCCCGTGTCATTTACAACAGTAAAGATTTCATGTTCTTTTCCTTCCTCCAATTAAATTCTCGAAGCATTATTGAGTCAGAAATTAAATGTAGATCATAATTTCGAAGATGAAATCGGATTTTTTTCTATTCCGATATAAACCGCAACTTAATGCTTTCAATCCCCCTCAGTTTTAGTGATAATAAACCATTTCATATCATCAGAATTGTACACCAAATTCCCATAAAGAATTATGAGTTCTTTGAAAAACGATCTCGGATTAATTTGATTTATTTGAATGTCATGACCTATTACGATAGGGTAACCTTTGGAATAGTTAGTAAACGCAACTTCGATAATTTTGTTTGGCGATTATAAATCCTTAGCATATATAATTTTTGTGATAAGAATTTCAAACCTTTAAAGTTATTATTCCTTTATAAATCTGTTCACTTACACATTCATTTATGTTTTTTTATATTTATCTATCTATCTCTGTCATATTTAAGTTGACAAGCTACACGGGTTTAATGGGTTTCTTTAAAAAGTAATAACAAAATAATTACAAAGTCATTGACATCATGCCATCCAAAGGACTTTCGATATTATCACCTTTGCTTAGCTCAGGCAACAATAGCGATCATAAATCCAAAGAGGTACTAACTCACCACTCCTTGGTCGAGTGTAGCAAATGTATGTTAATGTCTTCGCAAAAGAATTTTGTGCTATGGCAGGTATTCGAACCCCATACCTTGTGGTTCAAAGTGCACCTCCACGTCATTATTACTATTATTATAAATTGAATAATATATGAATAATGAATACAAGCACGGCCTTCAGAAACATGAGAATGGAATTATACAACTTTAAATGATCAGAAAGAGAGATAGTGGTTGGGTTAAAAGTGGATTTCAATTTACTGAGGTAAATCAGAAAATATATCAAGTGGTGTTTATTTATGATGACGTAAGAGTAATACGCTTCGCGTTTTTTGGGGGGCAAACAGTTGAGATTTATTATAAAGTTTGTATTAAAGACGCAGCAGTCTTTCATGTTTGTTTATGTTTGTGTTTGATTTAGTCTACCACATCAAATCCAAAAAAAAAGCTTTAATAGGGACCCACATTTACGTTACGGTATCCACTTACTCTCCTATAGGATTGCCGTCTTGTGGGGATCCTGGGGAGCCTCTTCACGGATCCAGGACTCCTTCTGACACCTCCACCTTTCTAGATGGAGCGACCATAGAGTACCAGTGTGACCTGGGATACGAGGTCAAAGGTAGTACATCCGCTACGTGCATGCTGAACGGCAGATGGGATACAGAAAGACCCGTATGTGAAGGTAGGCTTTGTGACGAGTCGTTCTTATTATCGACAAAAATGAAGGAAGGACGGGTGAAAACCCGTTCCAAGGATAACACTTGTAAACACAAGTTCAGAATAGAATCGAAATTGCATATGGTTCTAAACAAATTTTATTCAGCAGGTTAGATAAAAAAAATAAAAAAAACTCTATCTTTAGGCCTACCCTACTGTAGGACCTATGATTAAAATGTGCAAACATAACAGTTACATTATTACGTAATTCGACCATGATTTCCATAGTAGATGTATATACAACCTAAAACAAGTGCCCTTATTTCTTGAAAGTCTTTGTGATTAATTTCTAAAAATCTTCATATATTTGTGATAGATGTAAAATGAGTAGGCGTGTTGTCAAAATATATATATATATACCTAAAGCTATGACTGAAACTTTATTTACCGGGCGATACATGCTTCTTAAGATTCTGTTTTTTTTTTTATTATGACAGGTGAGAATCAGTTCTGGTCAATTAAATTTTATATGTATCTGTGATAACTAGCTCAAAAACGTAACAACTTTCGCCTTTCGCAGATATATGTATATCACAACACAATGATATGGTTGCTGCACATATTTCTTATGTTATATGTGTGTTAGAAAAACAGTTGCGCTAAGTTATTTGAATAGATTAGAGTAGTTATAGCAGTGAGTACCGGGACGGCCATAGGTTTTGTACACGAATTTTTTCGTACTTATACTATTTCTAATTGACTCGTGTACATTAACTTTGACATGGTCTATTTTCGAGAAAAAACGGACTTATAACACGCGTGTCTATGGGGTTTTGACGAGGTCCTGACTTTTTGAATTTAATTAGGGATTTGTCATTTTGGACTTGTAAATTTTTTCGATAAAAACTGACTTATAACACCCGTGTCAATGGGATTGTGACTTTATGAATTTTACTTAGTGACTTTCTCTGTTGGACTTAGTTTTTTTTCAAGCAAAAAGTGAATTACAACACGTGTTTCTACGTGAATTTTGACATTTTGAATTTTACTTAAAGATCTTTAGGAATTATTGACTTTTTGAATAGTGGATAGGTATTTTATTTGTGGAACTGACTTTTAACACGAGTGTCTGTGTAATTTTGACTTTTTTACTTTCTTTCTACCGGGATAATTTGTGTTTTACTTTCTAAGGAACGTTTACAACGCCGTTGTAGGTTGGATCAATATCTATTGTTCGATCAACTAAATAAAGGAACGTGTATTCGGCAACACGGGGAAGTGTATTGCAGTCTATGTGTATAAAAGGTATTGACTTTGTATAGGTCTAGTTTCTTTTGTATTTGAATTACCTCTTTTCAACAATAGAACCGTCGTTTCTTATTGATCGTGTATTGAGTTTATGAACCTCTCAACAGCCTTTCGACAAATGAAGCTCGTTTTATTCCGCCCTGTTCGTTCCGTCGAGTTCTTTGGACTTTCACACAACACTTTGATACTTATAGTTCAGGGCTATGTTTGGACTCTCTCAAAACATCATCAAAACAGATTTGAATACACAGATAACAATTGCAATTTAGTCATGTTACCAGAGAACAGAGATAAAATATACCAAACATTTTTAACTAGAGAAATAGAACCCAAGTCACATTATTGTATTTTTTCATCGGTAAACAAAAAGTTAACACAATTGTACAGCAAACATACACGCCGTAAATCCGTAGTTTAGCGTCGTAACATGCCGTAACGCCGTATATAACGCCGTAACGCCGTATCGTTATATCCACAACGCATTTGACGGATCATTCATCTCTATGCTAAATCACCAAGTTTTCTAGAGCACCCACTCTCTTGTTGAGGTTTAACACTCTATTATTAACTCCGTAACTCTATTTCATACTTTCACCATCTCGACTCTATTTCAATCTCGACTCTATTTCCATACTTTCAACATCTCGACTCTATTTCACACTTTCACCATTTCGACTCTATTTCACACGTTCCGATCTCGACTTTATTCCATACTTTCATTAATCTCGACTCTATTTCCATACTTTCACCATCTCGACTCTATTTCCATACTTTCAACATCTCGACTCTATTTCATACTTTCACCATCTCGACTCTATTTCATACTTTCAACATCTCGACTCTATTCATTCTGGACATACTTTGTATGTTGTACGACTATTGTGACGTAGAATACACACATCCATGAAATAAAACACTATGTAGTACATAATTATATTTTACTTTATTTTACTATATTTTTTTCCGTTTCAATGTGGACAACTTTATGCAAAACCAGATTTGAATACAAAGATAAGAATTGCTATTTAGTCATGTTACTAGGGAACAGAGATAAAATATACAAAACATTTTTAACTAGAGAAATAGAACCCAAGTCAGATTATTGTATTACTTTATCGTGAATATGTAAAAACTGTTAACACAATTGTACAACAAACAATTAGTGTTTATAAATAAATATCTTTAAAACATAAAACACAACAGAAAGTGTTTTTTTTTCTCAGAAAGGTTGATTGATGTACAACATGTTGAAATAGAGTAAATTTGTCATCTATTATTAGGGTTGTCTACGAAGTGTTCTTTTTCAGGGTGATGTCAAGCCTTAGTTGTCGCTTCCATCTGCACCCTCCGTCTCCGTCTCTTCTTCACTATCATCGTCATTCTCATCCTGATACTGGAATAACCCCTCGAATTGTGCACCGTGTCTTGCTAAGACTCTTTTCACGGCTTTCCAAAGATTCATGCCATTTTCTACTTTTTCCGTGAGATCAGACATAATTTCATCATTGATGTCAGCGCTTCCAAGGTACACATTCTGCTGCAAGAAGTTGGAGTAAAGATCGAAAAAGCTGCGTTTGACAGCCCATAGAACTTTCACGTGAGCCTTTTCTTTAGCTTCTTCTTCATCCATACCATCGGAGATATATTTTTGATATTTTTCGTCCCTGAGGTCCTCGGTGTTTGCCATGACCTGTTCTAACCATTCTTGATAAGCAGGGTTGTCCTCAGGTTCTTTCATGTCAGGTGTCTCTGACTTTGACGATTCATCCTCTCCTTCACTTTCTGAATCACTTGTTTCAGATTCATCGCTAGATTCTACAACTCTTTGCTTTTTAGAGGGTGGTTCGGAGTAATCATCTTCACTAGTTTCTTCACCAGCGTTGGAATTTTCAGTCTCGTACCCATGGTCTTTCATATCAGGATGTACATTCTGTGCGTGCCTCTTCATGTCGAACTTGCGACTATAGGTCTTATCGCATAGTGAACAAGCGTAACGCTTGGACATATCGAAAGTGTTCGTGTTGACTCGTTGATGTTTAACTCGGATTTGATTCAAAGGAAATTGAATCTGTATAATTATAGTTTTTCATTTGATATATTTTGTTATTTGATACGTAACGCCGTAGATAACGTCGTAAATCCGTAATGTAACGCCGTAAATCCGCAGTTTAGCGCCGTAACATTCCGTAACACCGCAATGTAACGCCACAACGCCGTATCGTATTATACACAACGCATTTGACGGATCATTCAGCTTTATGCTTCATCACCAACTTTTCTAGAGCACCCACTCTCTATTTATGGTCTAACATTCTATTATTAACTATTATTCATCTCAGCTTCATGATCAATCATTATTTTTTTTAGAACATCCAGTCTATTGCATCTCCCCTGTATACACCTTCCTCCTCCTCCGAGAAGAAAAAAGAAAACTTCGAGAATAATTATGTAACAGAGATTTTACGGTATTACATGTGAGTAGATAATTATGTCTTTATTCCTGTTGCTATAAAGCAAATGTGACTTACTTCTTCTTCTTTTCCATTCTTTCCTTCAGCCTGATCAGTTAGTTTAACCGTGCATTTAACCTATCGAGTTGACTTTGTTAAATGGTACAAATTAATTTGTACCTTTGAGATTCCCAAATATTGTCATACGTCCTTATTTGAACCACAAGTTCATTGTCCATAGTTTGTGTTATCACCATAAAGTCATCATTTTGAAGATGAAAAAGTTCACTAACTAGATCGTATTCTTCTTGCATTTAATTGCTTTCCTGTATAAACCGTGTAAGTTGTTCGTCCACGGATGTCGAATTTAAATCTCAAATAACGATGTTGTAAAGATCGCTCTCACTTGGAGATGATGAAAATTGGTCATGTGCGAAAAATCAACCAATGGTATATGACGAAGGCAAAATCCAGAGACTTGATTGAAACCTTGTTCTATCGTTGAATATCTATCTAGTAGTTTTTCTCTGCTTTTCCTTGTTTCCTCTTTGCAAAATATAGGATGATTGAACTATGAATTCGTCTTTGAAGCGCCTTTGGTTTCGTCAACAAAATTAATGTAAAAGCATGGTAGAAATCTTGATCCTGCCATTTTTTAGTTGAAGTGACATAAATAATCATCCTATACTTTTATAACTGATCACGTGCTATTCACACTAGATTTCACCGAATTCACAGTCCAATCATCCTATATTTTGCAAAGAGGAAACAAGGAAAAGTTAATGTACACGAGTCAATTAGAAATAGTATAAGTACGAAAAAATTTGTGTACAAAACCTATGGCCGTCCCGGTACTCACTGCTATAACTACTGATTAGTGATCACCTTTAACAAAGCTGAAGCGAATCAAGGTGATTGCACTATTTGAGACTCTCTGCTAGTAGGGACTGATGTTGTGACTTGCTGTCAACATTTATTTGTTGATGCCTGAAATGGCTTTTATTTACAATCGCGCAATATATTTGTATGTTTTAATCCTTTGTTCATTCCTTTTACTTTAAGCCGCCACATGTCCAAAGAACCTTTGAAGTGGACAATGTTACCAACTATGTGTATTTTTTAAAAACCTTTTTCATCCCTTTCATCTTAAGCCGTCATGTGTCCAAATAACACTTTTGAAGTGGACAATGCTACCGACGTGACCGTTACATCACAGGAGTATCGAGGAGTAGCTGTCTATACCTGCTCACCGGCATACCTTCCCGATGCTTCCCCTGTTAGTAACTGCCAGGCCGATGGGACGTGGAGCAATCCGAATTTTACCTGTTTTGGTACGTATAATCTTATCCTTTAAGTGCCCAAAACAAGTTACAATAACTTTGATAAGCTATTGAAATCATGGCATTTGATTGGCTGAGAGAACATTTGTGGTAGAAAATTAGCATCTGTTTATTGATAATAGGTTTCTTAACTCAGAATAAGTCACCTAAGGCTCTTTCAGAAATTGTTGTTGCTGCTAGATTGTTGCTAGATTGGTTAGACACTTAACACTTAAAGACTGGCCTAGACATACGTCATAAACTCATATATGCACTTTGCATTCTGACTATTGAGATACAAGAATACAAGCCTAATTAAATAATTCGTATCGAGGCATTCCACAAAGCCGGTTACATTACATAAATGTCCTTTTTACCCTGTTTAAGTATCCCCGAGTCTTTTAAAAATCTTATAACAAAATGGTGCTTCTGAACTTAGGTATGTGCGTCACCTTTAACTTATTGCAGCTATGACAACACCACCTACAGAGCCCCAAACTGGCCCCTTGAGTACGTCTTCTAAACCTGATGCTTTGTCGTCTACTTCTCCTTCTCCTTCGGCAGGTAAATATGAAATCGGGATTGTGTCCCTGAGTATGAATTTTGTTCCACTATGAACATTGAGAAAAGTCATTTATATCTAAAAAAAAAGAAGAAGATGTGTATAGGAGAAATGAGGTCTCAACTAGGGATGACAGATAAGGACTGATAAAAAGAAATTTAAAAAAACACGATCGAAAAGACTTTCGTAAAGCCAACCTAGGTCGATTTCACTAGCATTATCCATCACCTATTTTAAATGAGTGAACATTTCATTTGACAATTTACATGATGTATGACAATATCCGAACATGATATCTTTTGTATATACAGAAGGGTTTTGAACTAATTTCACTCCAGCCTTTGCAATCATGTCGCAAGTACAGGTCCTGGCGGTCCTGGGGAAGTGTAAGGGCTCATACATTTGTTGTACAATCCCCCCAAAGCACTTAATATATTAACATATTCAAATTCTGTTTACTTAATATCGTCGGATAGGTGAAATATCTACACAGCCTTCTGAAGGTGAGCCGCAGCCCAAGCCAAATGTTGGTAAGTGTGATTAAAACATTATCAAGAATGTGGTCAGAGTTGGTTAATTACATCAGCACAGTTTGTACAAACCATTGTCAGTCGGTGTGTGTAACAGAGTGTCTAAGCTCTGAGACTACACAGAATGCATGGTCTACTCCACACCATTAGTTTATTATATTAAATATTCACATAACATTTTCTCCATTTTTTTTTCTCAAGTATTTCCGGAATTTCTGTGTGAAAATCTAGCACAAATTAAACCAAAATTGCCACATTTCGAAATTTAAAAAAGAGTAGCAGCTGGGAACTGGTAGGAAGAAATCATATTTATTTAAAGGACTTAGAGATATTAAGATGAACAAAGCGCTATTTAAAACCATAACTTTAGTAGTAGAAGTGGTATTAGTCATATTGTTGTTTTTGTTGTTGCAAATAACATTGCTATTTTCGTCTGTTTGTAGCCTACTTTGACATACCGAATAGCTGTACTTCTGCACCATAAGCAGTGTATTCGTAATGGGTACGAGCACTTACAAGAACCCAATTTTCGATCTTTTTACACCATTATCGTAGTAAGTTTTAAAATCAAATAATAATATAAGGAATATTTAATTTGAAAGTTTAATGGGTCATTTGTTATTTTGCTTCGCCCGTTTTTTATGTATAAATATAAGCTTGATGTTATATTCTTTACTATATTAGGGTAAAAATGACGTATTCATTGTGTATAGTTGGTCTTCAGAAGCTAAATATTAGGCCACGTATGAATAGTGATTTTATTTCTTTTGTATCCATTTCTCTCACTTTCTCCTATTATCAAGCTGCCATTGCTGGAGGTATTTCAGCGACTCTGATTGTCATTATATTGCTCATCTTAGCTGTTGCTCTTGCCAGAAAAAGGTAGGTAAAAAGCCAAAACTCGAAACACCGTAATATCTGTTCTATTTCTAATGATTTGCCACTTTTCTTCTTATTCTGAATCGCGTCACACTTTTTTAATGTACACTAATACATGACATTGAGAAAATTACCCTTTTTTGTTGGATTAGTTGAATTGCAATATGGTAACCAGGTATTACCTTTTTTTTGGGGGGGGGTGGGTTCATTCCGTTTACACTAAAGAACTTATTATCTTAGCCACGGAGAAAACTCGTCTTATTCAAATACCAATATCAAAATATCTTTCGACATGTCTTCATCTGAGACAAGCATAATGAAAGATAATACCTTTCGTGGATCAAAATCAAAATTCCGATAATTAGTTGAAGAAAGCTATAAAAAAAATTGACAGGTCGTAAAGGACTTATGTTCTTTATTCTGATTCGATGTAGCATTATTTCATATGAGAAATTAGGCCTAGCTTATTTGTCAAACCCCTGAGCATATTTCTCTCGTAGATGGCGCGAAGCCCCTTGATTCACCTTCGACGAAAAATATACTTCATGTCATTTTTATCCACTAATTTCAATTTTGTTTATAGATTTACTTTCACGTTAATCTCATTCGATATAGCAATATTTCCAGTCTTATTCTATCACTTTTACTCATGATTTAATCTTTGTTTCGTTAATCTGGATAAAGTTTAATAAATAATTGCCAAATATGCACTAACCTTTTATCTCGATAGCCATTGTAATGAGAGGAACAATGATGGCTTTCTCATTGCTGAACAATAGATGTCTATGTTTCTCTTTTATCCCTTCGTTAGAAAAAGACCTAGTTCGAAAAATGGCCAAGAGATGATCTTAGGAAATGAACAGGATTTAAAGCCAGAGGCAAACAATTATTCCATAGTCGACAATAGAAAGCCTGTGACAACAGCAGGAACAGACAATAGGGCCTTTGCAGGAGACACCACGGGGAATGGTCACGTGAATGTGATTGTCCAATCAGAACCAGAAACAAGAAACGCGCCATCTGAAGATGAGACTCAATTTGTTGGCGCAGATATAGTGGAAAACGCTCTCTATGGAGCAAATGAGTCGGCGTCAGGACAAGGGTCTCGAGATGGCACGCCGAACGTGCAGTTGCTTGGGGTTGCTGCGAGGTATGTCGTCACTGATGATTTGCCGATCCCGAATGTACAACTTGAAGGGGCTTTATCCAAGTCCATTCCGACATATGGGCGGGTCGATAAATCTCAAAGCCAAATGGTGGAGAATGAACTGTACGGAGAAACCGACGGAAGTGATAGACACCAAATGTATGAAAAAACTGGCATTGACCTCAAAGACTCCCCTAATTTGCAGACTGAAATGAACAGCGCCCCTAACGATGGTATGGTTGATAACGAGTTGTATGCCCTTTCTCCTGATGATGCAACGTACCAAGAGGTCGAGGAAAATGGCCAGGAGGTGATATTTGAGGAGGACAATGACAGCATGATCGACAATGCTTTGTACTCCGCCTCTGACGTCACAGGTCACGTGGGCCGTGAAGGCGGAACGGTCTACCAGAACGCCGAATATCATGACGTTCCAGATTATCTGGCTGATAATGAGTTATATAACATGAAGTAACTTCGCAACCCTCGATTGCCATGACAATATACATGTATATAAGTTATTTTACAGATACTAATAAAAAGCTTTTAGTTCAATGAAATTAACTGAGAATTTTGTTAAGTACACAAATATATATATATATATATATATATATATATATATATATAATACCATGATATTGTCATTAAACCTAGTCAGTAAACGTGACGATTACACACATTATCATTTATATTCGTCACCAACATTTCCAATACATTCATTAAACGATATATGCGGGATATTGGAATATATTCTTTGCATGCATCAGGCTTAAACATAAGTACAGTGTGCCTGAAAAAAAATACTATATCATTTATATTCGTCACCAACATTTCCAATACATTCATTAAACGATATATACGGGATATTGGAATATATTCTTTGCATGCATCAGGCTTAAACATAAGTACAGTGCGCCTGAAAAAAATACTATACCTATTTATTCAAGTCTTCTTTATACAGGGTGGCCCTTTCAATAACGAGTATTGCTCTTCCATTGAGTACGACCGGTATAGATCAACATATACAGATAACACAGAAATATATAATCTTTACAATCTGTATTTTCAATGTTTAAATGTTATGCCCTGCTTTGGTCAATCCATTGCATTGTTATTGGTCATGTATGCTATATTGTGATATATGTCTGTATGGTTATGATGTATTTGTACCACTTTCCCTTTGATTTTGGAATAAAGAATTCAGTGTAAATAAAGTGTAAATACGTTTGTCTACTGTTATTGTCAATACATTGATACATGTATAGATTTATACACTCATCATTGAAAAAGGGGATTTTCAAATAAATTTTTAATATAAAATTATCTTGCATACATCAAAATAAACATAAATTAATCATTTTAGGATGATACGCATTTATAATCATACCATTTATGCACAATTGAGGATACCCAGTTAACAATAAGCGAGTCTCTGCATAGTTACACAAAATGAGGCATCTGGCCATTCAAATATATGATGAGCATTGCAAGTATCCTATGGCTCGTCCACGACCCTGGGTGGAAAGGACAGGCATCTCGACTGTGCTTGTCAAAACTAAATTGTCCCGAGAATATAGTTGACATCCAGAACTAAATCCTTCATTGTCTCTTTGTTTTTATCGTTAAGCAATTTGTTTTACACATGCACACGTTCATTTAAATTTGAATTGTTACTTGGTCTATTTTTGCAATTTTCTTAATCAGACATTCTAACTGTTTAAATGAATGTGCCCATATAAGCATGAAAGTTCTAAACTTGATCATACACTGTCGCTCATATAGTTGGAATATTTTTGTTTTACCCCAATTTATGGAATTATTTTTAAAATAATTTATACCTGTTAGATCTAGATAATAGTATACATTCTCAGATTGTATTGAATAATGATTTGCCAATGTGTGTTGTGCGTGCTGGCTAAAGCATGTGTTTGCTACTTAGCTTATCAACTAGGGGACCTACGCCCTTAAATCATAAATGACAGTAATGAGGACAGTACGCCTCACAAAAGGGCACTAATGTAGCACATCGACACGGTTTTGATCCTGGGGCCTCACAGTTACGAGGTCATTGCTTTGTCACTGAACCATGACTGTACGCAGCGGGGGCTAGAATAGGGGGCAGTTCCCACAAATATTTTTTTTTAAATAAGAAAATGCAATAAATTTTCAATAATTTGTTCAAATTTACGTTCATTATGAAAAACTTTATGCAATTAAGAGTGTCCACTTTTTTAATGAGTTCAACTATTTTTTCATCTAACTAATTAAGTGTGTTTCGTAGTCTCGGAGTCCTGACAAGGATCACGAAAGCGTCCCAAATAAAGGAAGAAACCAAGAAGTACGACCGCGTCATATGTTATCGTTTCTTTCATAATGACGGGGGATAAACGCCTTCCCCCAACATAAGAATATCTTTAATGTAATAATATTATTTAGGAAAACTCCATTGAATTACCCTGAAATAAGACTAAAAGAGCTAAAATGAGGCCCTCAGATTATAGCCCAGTAACTTTTAAAAAAAAATAAGTTGGACCTATATTCTTATTCAATTTATCCATTAAAGTCGTAGACGGTTATGTGTGTCAAATATTTGTGCATCATTCCCACATAGATGGCCCAAAGCAAATTGATTCATACTCCCCCCAAAAAAGAAGATGATCATGGTCAGTTTCCCCCTAAATTTCGTATTTTAAGGATTTTGATCGTGAAAAAATGTTTGCTTGAAGTTCAAGTGTGGGTGAGCCACTGTATTGTATTACTGACTTGGGAATAAACAGACGTTTTTTTTTTAATGAACTCCTGCTTTTGTATTCCTTTGTTGCCCCAACCCCTACAGCTCTGTGTAAATTTGCATCTATTTGCAAACACTTATCGACATTTTGTCTAGATTATTCAACTATTTTATTCAACCCAAAGGTAAATAGTGTTATATAAATGTATTATTTAGAAATCTAGCCATCTGATTGGTCAAAAACCGGCAGCATTTTCAAATCTGTTTACAACAAGAAAATTACCACGGATCCAAAGGAATGTTTAACATTGGTATTATAAATATAGAATGTAAAAAAAAAACATAAAGTATGAACAAAATGAAGAAATTAAAATCTAAAATGTCACAATGCATAAGTGAACATACTTACGTGATATCTAAGTGATAATAGGGACATTTAGATTCGCACGAAGACAATGGGGATTGCTATGATCGACGTCCTTTTAATGCACTGCCTTGAATGTACGTCACACGTATCAGTCCACGCAAATCTAAAAGTCCTTAATGAAGGAGAGATAATCGTAAACAGAGGGATACCTGAGGCAGGCGATTCAATCCGCGTTCCTAATGTGCAATGTGCATGTTTCCGCTTTTACCTAATCCGTATCTAAATCTTACCTAAAGTGTGTTATGAAGTTTCTCAATACCATTGAGACGTATTTTATAAATATTGCCAATTCGATGTGAATGTCGTATTTATGTTTTCTAATATCGATACATATTTTGAATGTCGGACCCCTTTAAAAATAAATACTCCTTAAAAGCATGTATTATTAGTTTCAGAATATTTTATTAGAATTGTATAGATATTTTGCTCTTTTACAACCATCAATGTACACTTTTTAATGTTTCTAGAATTAGCCAAATTTTGTATTAAAAGTGGTATACCTTAATGATGACGTATATCTAATTACATAACTTTTTCTGCAGCAACCAGGCCTAGTTGCCAATTTGAAGTGCTCATCCAGGAATGAATGGAATTTCTTTTGGGGAGATATTGTTTGAAATTAGTCTAGTCTTCTTAGATATTGTATAATGAGGAAACATAGGATATATTAAAAATAGGAATAGTAGGTCCATCTCACTATTATTACTCGTTCCTGTTAGCCATAATTCGTATATTACCATTCCATTTATTCATTTTGTTCAGTAACAATTTTATTTTCCACCCTTAATCCATACCAACAGGTATCGACGTTCCCAACGCTGTTGCAATAGACTAAGAAACGGACCAAATCTATTTTCCATAAGGTGTGATAATCATCTGATGATTATCATTATTTATGATTAATACATGAGAAAAAAGTAATGCAATTGAAGAGTACAGAGCTAAAAAAAAAAAGAAGACTAAAAAAAAAGCCTTTTAATTTAGGAATTCTGAAACATTTTGTTTAGTTTTCTTAAATGAATTTACTTTACAGCCCTGGCACCACCTGACCAAATATATATACAGTGCGTCCCATGAAAAACGAAACCGAGAACGATGTTTTATCATAACTTAATCATAATCAAAATTGATAAATGACACATATTTGTAAAGCTTAGATCCTCCTCTTTCGTTTGATGCAACTCATATGATGCATTTTCATATTACGTATGAGTGATGAAAAACAATTTAAAGAGAGGAAACCAAAACAAATTTGGCGGATGGTATCTGAATTTCAGAACAGAAAAAACACATTTCGAGACAGTTCATTTTCTGCCCTTTCATATGACACCTCAATCAGGAAAAATGAGCCAGGAATAACAAAATTTGCTTTGTTTAAAGTAATGTTTGCACTGGCTGCCTGCCGTAGAAACAAACAGAGTTGACGCAATCGAATCTTTCGTCTTCTTTGTCTCCTCTTGATTAACTCTTCATAATGCCTGAACTTCAGGGTTAATCCAAATTAATCAGAAGGGACTGTTCCTATTATTATCATAATTATTATAATGCTCTTTATTATTATTATTATATATTCACTATTACTATTTCATAATTCTCATTATACTCTTCGCGTGTCTCATCTGAAACTCCTCATATTTTAGGCCTGCTCATGCAAGTGCTGGATATTTCAATGTTATTTTGTGTGTGTATGTGATTGGGTTTGCAATGAAACATGCACGAGTCTGTTCTTGTAATTTGTATGCATATAATGTGAAGGTGATTCACGTTTTTGTATGCCCTACCAATGTAAGTTTGCTGTAACCTTAGTGACATGGACTGATCAATTAAATAATGTTTACCCGGTCGTCGTGACAATTTTTTTGCCATGCCCTGCCCGTTTTAAACACACATTAATTTTAGCTAATATAAACTCGATAGCATTTTGTGTATGCACAAGAGAAATAGCAAATGCTAAGTTACATGGAACCGTCTTCTTAAACACTGGCAAATTATTATTCAATAAAATCTGAGAATGTATACTATTATCTAGATCTATTAGTAATAAATCATTGTCAAAATAATTCCATAAATTGGGGTAAAAAAATATTCCAACTATATGAGCGACAGTGTATATCACATTGATATCATGTTCGGATTACCTAATACGTCTTGGTAAATTTTCGCACATTTCAAAAGGTGAAGGATTTGCCTGAGGTGGATTTTTGTATTGGTACAGTAAAAACAGTTATGTTTTCATTTTGAAATTCACTATTTGCCCGAGGTGGATTTGGAGAAGGAATAACAACAGATTTGACTATTATCACTTTAATGTGTAGGGTTTTCCTTTTTATTCAATAAAATTCGGGAAAAAATTCATACAAAATTAATTATTATACGATTCAGCCAGTCAAAAGTTGATAGTCAGAAAATACAAAAGAACATATAAGTAAGACATAGTACACTACCACTTAGCAACAAGCTTACTGGAATTTCTACTTTACATGACTTGAACATTTGTTTACTGTCACTGCAATTCACAATTTACTCATTTAAGCAATTTATTGCGCGACGTCCAAACATATATCTTAAGTCCACATAAGATTCTGTCCTTCATATAGCCGCACATATAAATTTAAATATTTCTGCTTTGTGTAAAGGTCACTCTATGGAATTAAGTCCGTGCATGCCATTGAAAACTTGAATTTTTCATGGAGAACAATCGTACTGATTTAACACTTACAAATTATTTAACACTTTAACACATTAAGAACATATCGAAACAGTACAAAATCAGATAATGAAAATAATAATGATAATCGCATTTCTATAACGCTTATTACTACATTTTCTCACCTCTTTACATGTAATCATTGTTACCCATATGATTGGATACAATTTCTATTTCCTACACTATATATAGTGCGCGTTCTACACTGTTCTGGCGAATATCCTCCTTGGTTCTGGGGAGCATTACGGCAAGATTTCGAGTTTTATTGATATAAACCATATAGATATAAAAGATAATACATTAATGTTGTCCAAAACCTGATATATCATGTTTAAAATAATGGATTAGATAAAGAAATAAACTTTAACATTTAATATTTTGTTGACTGTAGAGAATAATGAGAAGAATAACAAAACAAATTGGGCAAAGCAAGCATAAAAACAGGCCCCAAAAAAGCATATAACAATAAAATTGGTATAAAATTGGAGTGTTTGGTGATTAAATGGGGAAACTTTGCAAAAATCATATCAGAAAGCGCTTTAGTGCTTTTGAATAAATTGGGTTTGACAGGAATAAGTCAAACCAAAGTTTTGTTTGCTTAATTGATTAAAGCAAGATAGTTTGAGGACCATGCTAGCTTTGGAAAGGGGAAAAAAAATCATTAAATTACAGACTTGGGAGAGATATTAGGGACCAAAGGGTGGATGTCCACTCGTCTGCATGAATACAGCGGTGATCGTACTTTATTTAAGCTCATTCAGCCAGAAATCTGATGATTGGGTGGGAGTTTACATGACTTTAGCGAAGACCGCCATTACAAGAGACACAGATATAACCACAAAGCTCGCCTGAAGGCCTCCTGCACTGTTACAGAGTTCATCGGTACAGGTGCAGGCAGCCACGCTGGAATACGTGGGGTTGGTTCCAGTGGCCAACTTGAAGAGATCGTACTGAGCTTGGGAGAAACCTACCACACCAACATCCTCCAAGATTTCATCGGCTTTGGCGGACTCTTTGGAACATCCATCCATGCTGGTAGTGGCCGCAACGTCCGTACAACCTCGAAGGGTGAACGTAAAGGTCTCAGAACTCAGGGCCCCATCCAAATTGCCTAAATTTAGGGGATTAGGAAGAAGATTGTAATATAATGTTGATGATCATGATATCGGTATTAATAACAATAATGATAATGATAATGATATCAATAAAAAATATTTATAGTAACAATAAAAAGAGTAATAGCAGTATTTTTAGTAGTCGTAGGAGTAGTATAAATAGTATAGTATAGTAGTAGTAGTAGTAGTAGTAGTAGTAATAGCATTAATATCAATATCTTTGATGATAATACCTTAAACGATAATAATAACAAAAATATAAAAACTATGACAATTATATTTCGCAGCAACGTTGATGATACTACTACTAAAAATACTAAAAAATAGTAATGATATTAGTAGTAAAAGTAATAATAATAATACTACTAATAATGATTATAATAATAACATTAAAATTGGGGGGGGGTAAGAGGACACTTTTTTTTTTTTGTGTATTATTATTATTATTATTATCTTTAATTAAAAAAAAAATAAAAAAATCCAAAAGGGGGGGGGGGGTTTAGGGAAATTTAGGGGGGTTTACACACAAAAAATTACCAAAGGGGGGGTTTAACCCCCCCCCCCCCCCCCCCCCCTGTGTACGCGCCTGCCCTAAGGGGCAAAGTACAGTATCCACATCATCAGATCCCTCGATGACTCTTTACATTGATCAACAAAGTTCTGAGAAGATAAACACTTTTTCTTTTAAGAATAAATCATATTTTCACGATTTATAGTGGGAGGTGAGAAAGAGTTAGGAGACCAGGGGGTGTTTCACAAAGATCCTAGTTGAACTTATCTCTTAGTTGGACTTAACAAATATGGAAAGCCGTTAGCATCCTTGAAAATATTTTGTGAAAGTTATTTTAAAAGGAGTAAAATGTTGATTCAAATCATTCATAATTTCTATTATCGAGGAGATTTCATTTTCTTGATGTGGAATTTATGAAAAGCCTAAAATATTTGAATTTTGCTTTTGAACATATTTCATTATAATGCTACAAATGGCTCACCATAATATTTAAGTCCAACTTAGAGTTAAGTTTGACTTAGAATCTTTGAGGAACACCCCCAGTGTTTTTCTTTGAAAATTCTTTTACGTCGATTTACCTGCAAGCTCTACCTTTGCACATTTGGTTGTATTGGTTTCACAAGTTGTTTTTGCAAGAGTATCGGCTCCACAAGTACCAAGGTCGACACTTTGGTATTCAAAAGAGCCACAAGAGTAGCACTCGAGGGCCTGGCCTAATTGGAAGAAAAAGATATTACAGGAATAAACAGTGAATAATTAAGCAACAAGTATTCGGTATACATTTTGTATAGATGCATAATTTGTCTTCAGATTATATGAAGGGGTAAACCGCGGCGGATTTTTTTTTTTTAATAATCTTTTTTTTTTTCTCCTTCAAATAATGACATAAGTGTCATGCGCTTCACATTTATGTATCTCATGACACAGAGCTCACTAAATAGGGTTTTTGTTTGCGCGCAGGTGCCATTATTATTATTATTATTATTTATTTACATTTTTTTAACGCGGTGGTTTTCTTTCCCTGTTTACCGTGCATGTCTAAGCAATCCTTAATTCTTAAATTGAATATTACAATGTTGGTTATGCACAAACAATAAAAAAGAAAAGAAAATTGGAATCAAATTATTGATCTATATATTTCCTTTTAATAAATCTAATAAACATCCTGTCAGTAGAATCACAAAAGAGAATACATCATTACGCACGCACACACACTCCCCCCTCCACACATAAGGGACTATATAGGGACTCATTTCTTAATATTTTACGGCTGGGAATTTATTATACATCTAGACTATATAGGCCTACATCTCTTATAATACACCATCTTATACACCATCTTATAATATCAGCTTTATTATGTTACTTCTTTTATTGCAGTAATTCTTACCTGAGAACTACATGTATGAACATCACAGCAATTCTTAAGCTGATATTATTAAAGCGTTTTAGAGGTGTAGATCTATAATTAATTTCTCAATCGTAAAATCTTTAGAAATGAGTCCCTATATATAGCGGCCTTGATGACGATAAGGCCTATATCATTGATTGCCAGAATAGTTTTAACTTAGTGCTAAGTAATAACTTTTTTACAGCAAGTGAAGGTCGATGTAATTCATTCGAGCTGCACACAATTATGTTAAGTGGATGGTACTTTTTAAATTACTTTTCTGATGTACATTGAGTACAAAGGAATATGTCGAATTTATCGATCAATTTTATTATTTGATGTGAAGGATATCCTTTTTCTTTTTTCTACTACCATTGTTAAAAGGATGAAAAGTGATCTTTATCACTGATTGAAAAATGTTTTTATAAGCTGGATATAAATAAATGATTCCGTGAAACGTCTAAAACTTCGAATTTTCACCCGCACGGCTTCATCACGATTTCCTTTCTCTTGTTGTAATGATAATCATCCAACATAGTAACTCAATGCAGTGCACTTAGCGCAAAAGCGATACTAACGCAACAACGCATTAGATACCCAATAGTGTTTAGTAAAGATTAAAGAAAGAGAGAATACGAAGAGGGGAGACAAATATCGAGTGGAAAAGGGAAAATTGAAAGGATATCGAAAACAAGAGAAGGGAGAGGGGAAATGGAGACCAATGGAAGGGGAAAAAGAGAAAGAAAGAGAAACTTAATATAACCAAAGAAGCTATAGGGAAATGGTAACAAGAGGGCGGATGAGGGTAATAGAAAGGGGTAGAGAGAAAGGAAGAGATAAAGAGAAAAATAACCACAACAATTATTATATATATATATCATACATTCATTAAAACCACAGTAGGCCTAGGCCTATATATATATATATCATATATATTATATATCATATTTACGATAACTTACCAATTTCAAAAGAAAGGCAGGCGAGAAGACATACTCCGATGATGAAGGACTTCATAGCTGAAAGACAAAAAGGATAGGATTTAGATCATAAATATCACGTATTTTTAATATATGTATGATATTGCAAATTTGCAATGAAGAGAAGCTTTTCACATTCCACTTAAGCAATAGGTTTCTCGCTAAAAGGTAACAAATTACTATTATTAAGGTTACAGTAGGGTTTTTAACAAAAGCAAAGTCAGCTTTTCATATTGTTTAATAACGGAGATGTCGATTATCAAACTTGGAGAGTGTAGATCGAGCATTTGTTATTGTTATTTATTACAACTTTGAAATTACGATTTTTGAAACTACAAGGTAATTGTTAGCCACAACAAATGTTGTACTACGACATTATAACAAATGAAACTGCGTGAGAAAAACCTTATATAGTAATATATACATAGTTATAAATAACTTGTACCCTTCTTCTTTGTTTATGTAGTGTTAAGAGTACTATGTCCCGTTTGCAGGCCAAAAAATGAAAAGGTTAAATTCCATCAGCATTTGAAAGTAAATACTAATTTAGAACTTTCCTATAAAAAAGGGGGGCTTGAAAATGTCTTTAAGTGGAAAAATAACGACTATTAGTTGTCGAATAGACTTAAGAGCTATAGAGCCTGTAAGTAATAGTCTGATTTTCAGACCCTTGTACCGAATGGTCGTACGTTTTATGCAGCGCAAAGATTCATTTACAGCTCATTTTATGTATGTTATTACCAAAGAAGAAAAAAAGCCAGTCACTCACTCAATAGTGTCTGACAGTGAAATTTAGCAAGTAAACAGATTTCCTTGCATAATTTGAATATTAGGACACTGCTAACGTTTAAATTTCACAGATAGGACATACATGACATATTCATATTTCATGCAAAGTTCTACAGAATCTGATGTTGGGTGCAAAAGGGACATAGTATCTTTAACAAAAAGTGATAAGGCCTAATCATAAAATAAAAGTGCCAAGTATTAAAATAATTTCTAAAGAAGTCCGATGAGTGACGAAAGCTTTAACATAAATACCCTGCGTCATCTTTTGCTCGCATACATGTATATTATGTATATATAATATAATTATATATTTATATAAACATGTATATATGTATATACATATAATAATATACATATATATATATTCAACTATCATGGCATTTAATCTATTATCTATTTCCCTCTTCCTCCGACTTTATTTCTACATTTTATATCTCTGTTTCTTTTTTCGAAAACAAAGTCATTGCCTTTTTTTTGGATTGAGGACAAAGACTTTTTGAAATACATCATTTCTCAAATTTCACGTAGTTATTCAGGCGTTTACTCTCATCCCGGCTATTGTAATACTAAGAAAGTACATTTCTTACCGACAAATTGTTGATATCAAATGACAGTTGTAAGAAAGAGAAGAAGTGCGGGAACAGATGAAGTTGTTTTAATACGATGCTGCTGACACAAGTGACGCGGTGATCAGTATACTACCGATTTAAATACTTAACGCTGCGCGATGAAAACGCCCTTAACGAAAGCATGAAATTTCAACCAATGGTCTTGCACGTTACGTAAATCACGTACCTCGGGAATGCTGACAGTTGTCATCGCTATTTTTAGAATGTATGTAATTTATCTGTGCTAATAATATTTCTGACAGAAATTGATTTCCATCAGACCTCCTTAATGTTTGAAGAAATATCTATTCAAAAAAGGGCTTGTTACCAGACTTACGTACACGCCTCTGCTGTTGCTAGGTATATATTCCCCAGGACAAAGTTGTCGGATGAAGCTGCTGTTTGTTTGTTTATTTTGCCTTTTGTTCATGATAATTAAAATATTATGTACGTGCTGTATATTTTGAGACTGTATAGTACTTTGTCATTTTAATGATGTAATCGTAGACACATGCACAGCCCAAGACAGCCCAGGAGGGCTGGGAATGTGAAATTGAGTTAACGTTGTCTTTATAAGTGAACATGCGTTCCTATACCTAATTCTCTTCCTACTTTTTCTTCCATTTACCATTTTTTGTTTCCTATCAACTTTCTGTTAAACAATATCTAATTTTCATAATAATACCTAACATTTTCTCTCAGTAACTGTATAAACTTATTTTGGGCGTTCCCAACTCAAGCTATGCATTTCGGGTTTTCGCCTCCTTCTGTTATCTGAATCATTTACTGTATACTCAATGAAATGTTGAAATCATTGTTACATATGGTAGGGGATTGTACAAATACATGTTTGTTCTCATCGGAGGTTTATATCAAGTGTATTTTCGATCTAGCGCCATTTTTGTCGGGCCTAAATGTCAGTTTGGGTCATAACATGTTTGTTGTGCTTCAATTGCTAATGATATTTGACAAAAACATGTTACACATATTTTCAATGATGCTCCTTCGCGTCCTTTTCCAATTTGGTTGCGTGCATCCCATGGGCTGTATGAGCTGTAAACATTCTCAAACGATAGAAGTCACTGATTGGGAGTTCACTTCTTTGTCCGCCCATAAATTTCTTGAAAGGCGCCCTAGTTTCTTTGTATTGGCCATCATTGTCTTTAATGCAAATATCACATCAGTATGCAGTTGAGGCCTTCGAACTTTACGCTATCTGTATCATATTCATCAGCCTGACGAGTGCTATGCTTAAGTTAATTTTACATTGTGCATATGGAAAAGGTATGCTTTGCAAGATATTTCAATCTGATGCTCGCCTTTGCTTCATGTTTATCAACAGAATAATTATCATTCTTATGCAAATCTTAACCTATCAAACAGAAGAAATCTTTAAGATTCGGAGTATAGTCAGACGTATGGTGCAAAGTAATGTATTACATTCACTAGGTATCGAAACAGATATGCATTTCTCAGAACTATCTTATTCCCGTTCCAATACCAATTATTGTTATGGTGTGTCGATACGGTTCACGTTTCAGCTGTTTATGCATTTGTTATCAACGATTGATATGCAAATATTTCTTATGCAAATGTTACATTCATAAAATGTTTTTGTATCTTACGTAGATCTTTGTATTACATACTGTGATAATTCTTTTGTAATGTGAATTTTATGAGGAAGGAAATTTCCGGAACAGGTTGCATGCAGTGTGTGTTTGTGTTTGTATGTGTGTTTATGTGTGTGAAAGGGGTGTGGTGTGGTGTGGGTGGGCTAGAGGGGGGGGGGGGTGTTATGAGTTTGTTGGTGTGAGAGTGTTGTGACAGGATGGTAATATGTAACTTTAAACCTTCCTCTACTGTTATTTTGATTATACAATGTTACATGTAAGACCTTTTTCTTCTTTTTTCCTCTATGTTCATTGATTGATGTAACTCATGAAGTGTCTTGTATCAAAGATCTTGTTTTATATTGCTTATTTTGATAATTTCCTGTTATGTGAAATTATGAGGAAGGAAATATAATATCATTTAAAACACAAAAAGAAATATATAATTTATATATACATTGTGTTTCATATTGTACCGTTGTGAAGGAAATAAATGTTAATAAATACAATACAAAATAATACAGATTACCAAATCGAGATAAACATAATCAACTCTTCATAACTGACAAAATATTGCACTAGTATAGACGTTTTCATTTTTCACATAGGGCCTAAACTTAAAATGCCCGAAATTTACAAAGGAGGAATTACATTACAATTTCCGTCGTCATTTCATATAATCACCAAAAGGCGAGTAAATTATGTCAAATTTGTGAATAGGAATCTGAGCGCCATGAAAAATATAGGGTTATCAATTTTAATGTTTACGCACATTTCTCTTGAGTGGACATCCTCATTTTTCAAAATGCAATACTCAATAAATAGTGTTTTTTTTTTGTTGTCGATTTTAAATCGGCAAACAAACCCTGGCAGTTAGTCATCGTTATCTTTAGAATTCTGGGTGCCATAAATTATATTATCCATGAGGTATGGGTTACTATCAAATTTTGGTTGAAGAGTGTTTCTCGTCGTTTATTTAATTCACGTAGTGTGGACTTATTTCAGGGGGAGCAATCTTATTTTACTAGATCATTGTATTTCAATTTTTTTATTTTTTTTTACCACGGCACCCTTTTATGAAATAATAAGCTTCGGCTCACCCCAATCCAAATTCAACACAGTAGATTCACTTTGCATTACTCTGGCACTCGCCATTTGACATGTACATACGTACAGGCGTATTCGATTCTAAATTTTGCGAGTGGTATATAAGCAAGCGAGCCAACAAAAATGACATTTGTTATATAGTACAACATTATTTTGTATTCAACACACTAAATAAGATATTATTGTTATATGTTACTGATAGTCAAAGGTGTCTGAATCACTGACTGAAATGTTTTTCAGTCGAATCTTGGGTTTTAAGGGTGTGGTCGATAATTATAATACCTAGCTGTAGCTTCACTGCGCAGACCAGGCCCCCGTCTTATAAAGAGTTGCGATTGGTCCGATTCAATCGCAAGTCCTCTAATAAATCGTAACTTTGCAGTCCCCTGTCTCTTATGTACTCAGTTGTGATTGATATCAGTCGCAAATACTTTGCGATTAATCGCAACTGTTTATAACACAGAGCCATGAAGGGTATCGTAATACAAAAAGTTTACTGTCAGGGTGATATTTTGACACGATCCATTTTTCGAAACACTATCACCTAAAGTCACTTTGGAAACAAAAAGGCCACATCAGAATTAAAATATCGATGCATGTACACAATAAACAAAATAGACCTAAATAATGTTATTTTTTTAAGATGAAATTTCTATTAAAAATTATATCATGACGGCATTTACAGTATCTACAGTTTCCATCCATTGATATGAACTTTTCATTTTAACAAGCACAATTTGTTTGAAAGATCGTGAAATTCTGTTTTCCTGACGGTTGAAGTAATTTCGAAATCGAGATGATTGAACAATTCGCTTTTGCTATATAGCCCTCGCAAGTTGGCTTTATACTTTTTTTTATGACGCATCATGTATAGGTCAGGATTTCAATCAGTCTACGAGTGTTATTTGTCTATGTATTAAATTAATAAATGGTCTAATTATTAAAAGCAAGGAAAACTGTTGCCTAACCCGTCCAACTATATTTGCGCATCACACCCACACTTTAATAGTTGTTTTGTTTAATTTAAATTAAACTCATTTCAAAGAAAAATAACACGGTTTATATACAAACAGCAAAAATATATCATGTATATCGACAAAATGAGCCTCTGCAAAAGGGGAAACATTTCTCCTTCCCCTAGGGCACACGCTTCGCATCGTTATCAGACCGCCATCCCCCAAATGAAATTATTGCTACGCAGGTCCCTCCCCTCCCCTTTCTCCCGCTCTGCAATAGGCCTACTTAATAATAATGAAAGGGATTTTTTTTTTCACAGTCAATTTTGCTTATACTGTACTGGTATCAGGGTTGCCAGATGGGGATCTCCGTCACACACAAAAATAATCAAACATATATATATATATATATATATATTGAAAGTGCCTTCTCCCCAATCCCATTTTTTAATTTGGTGATTTGAGGGCAATATAAGAAAGGAAATAAAAATACTATATGAAATAAATGAATAGTTAAGTAATTAACGAGGGAAATCCTAAATTTTTGACTCGCTGTTATCCGATGGGGAGTTCACATGGGCATTTGGCACAAAATATATCCTAAAGTAGGCTTCTTTAATTGGCCGGGGGCGGGGGACAAAAATCCAAAAGCCGAAAGTCTAAAATGGAAGAAGAAAAAAAAACATAATAATAATAATAATAATAATAATATTAATAAAAAAAGTTTCTTATATAGCGCTTTCCATTAAAGTCTCAAGCGATATAACAAACAAAAATACAATTTCAATGACAAACGATTATTAACCAAAACAAAAGAAATACAAATACAAAAAAGTACAACTTTTACAAAATAGGCCGACATGTGAATTATACATCAATGTGAACAAAATAAATTAATCACCAAAAGCAATTTTGAATAAAAGTGTCCTAAGATGTGTCATTGGCATTGATATTGGGCGTTTTTTGTGTTTGGTGATTTTGGGGTGTTTTTTGTAAACATTTTTTTTTTTTTTTTCCGGGGGGGGGGGATGATTTTTCAAACACCGTTCGGTGCCTCGTTTTGCTGGTAGTCCAGCCTCTGTACCGTTTTCGTGTGGCGCGTCCAATCAGCTGATAAAATAACACTCCCTCAACCATGGGTGTCGATCCCGGGGGGGATGGGGGGGATATATCCCCCCCAATATTTTAGGTGGGGGGGATGCCCTGTACAATCATCCCCCCCCCCCCCCCCCCAATAATTCACCATCAAAAAAAAAAAAAAATAAAGAGAAAATTAATGATGAGAGTCCGATGAGAGTAGTTAATGGTTATTACTCGCAAGATGACCATCAATATACATATTTTGCTATCTCATTTTCATAATTACATATATACGAAGTAAATGAGACAACCGTATATGAGACAAGAATAAATTGAATTCTCTCTCATACGGCTTCATGAGGAATTGATGAATTTATTCAATTTGTTCAATCAACAGCATCATAGAAATGCAGTGCGCCAAATGCAAAGCCGCAGCGTTAAAAAGCAACAAGCTAAATGTTAAACGCGAAGCGCAAAAGTAGCAATCTGCAAAGCACATCAGACAATCCTGGACAGTGTACAATAGATGAACTCTGTGACGAATTCGTGATGAGATCGGAGACAAGGAGAACGATTTTCGGACATCAGTATGGCTTATAAGAAAGTTCACTAGTTGATATGTTGTTTCCGTTCACCTTTCTTTAAAATTCACGTCATTGTATCTTTGTTTATTTTTTTCACTCATTTTATTTCCTGATATTTCCTAAAACATTTTTCATTTTTGGATTATTATGTCACAACTTTTTTTTTCTTCATTTAAAAGCTGATGTAAGCCTATGTCACTGGCCCCATAAAATCCAACCATGGCTTATTTTCAATTTCATACAAGTGATTTATAAATGTTCGTGATATCACATGATTTTCAACAAATTCGCGTTTCTCCATTTCTGTTGCAAACTGACACATTCTAAAATAGCCAGGAAGAGCATATATTTTGTATAGTCACTAATGGGCCTAATTAGTGGCCATTTCTAATAATTTAATAAAACGTGAAAGCTTCCGCGATACGCGCGGGATGGGCGAAAATGATTTCAGATGTGGATTAAGAGTAATAATCAAATAAAACGTCAAAGCTTTCCCGCTTCGCGCGGGAGGTGGAAGACTGAATTCAGACAAGGACACTATACAACGAATCGTCTTCCTTCTCTAATAATTAAATGAAACGGTAAAGCTTCCGCGCTTCGCGCGGGATGGGCGAAAACGAATACAGACAAGGATTAAGAGTAATAATTTATTGAACCGTCACACCTTCCGCGCGGTAGGGGGGAGGGAACTTAATTCAGACAAGCACGCGATACAACGAATCGTCTTCATTCTCTAAAATTGTAATGAAATGTGAAAGCTTCCTCGCTTCGCGCAGGACTGGGCGAAATTGAATTCAGACAAGGATTAAGAGTAATAATTAAATGAAACGTCAAAGCTTCCGCGCTCCACGCGGGAGGGCGGGGGGAATTGCACTCAGACATGGACACGATACAATGAATCGTCTTCTTTCTCTAATAATTTAATGAAACGTGAAAGCTTCCGCGCTTAGCGCGGGATGGGCGAAAATGAATTCAGACAAGGATTAAGCGTAATATTGAAACGTCAAAGCTTCCACGCTTCGCGCGGAAGGGGGGGGGGGGAACTGAATTCAGATAAGGATTAAGAGTCGAGAATGGTACATCGAATCGTATTCTTTCTCTAATAATCTATGGAAACATCAGAGCTTCCGCGCTACGCGCTACGCGCGGAGGAAGGGAAACTTGATTCAAACATTAAGGATTAAGAGTCGAGAATGGTACATCGAATCGTCTTCTTTCTTTAATAATCTAATGAAACGTCAGAGCTTCTGCGCTACACGCGGAGGAAGGGAACTTGATTCAAACAAGGATTAAGAGTCGAGAATGGTACATCGAATCGTCTTCTTTCTTTAATAATCTAATGAAACGTCAGAGCTTCCGCGCTACGCGCGGAGGAAGGGGAACTTGATTCAAACAAGGATTAAGAGTCGATAACGGTCCAACGAATCGTCTTCTTTCTCTAATAATTTAATGAAACGTCAAAGCTTCGCGGGGGAGGGGAAACTCCTCCCTCCTTGCACCCAACCCCTTGGCTACGCGCTTAGGGAGGAGGTGCAACCTGCCACACGCTTCTACCCCTTGGTTGCTTTGATCCATTGCTGAAAATATTTTGGCACCTATCATCCCCCCCAACAACGGATACAAATCGACACCCTTGCCCTCAACGTTGAAAGTAGACCTAGCCTACCAATCCTCTCATCCTATATCACTGAGGTCAGTGCATCCCATCCCGATCGTGTGGACGGAACTTTGGGGATCGCATCCAAGACCCGCCCCCCCCCCCCCCCACCCCACCCCCGGGGTCGGAATGACCGCATGCGTGTTACCAAAATGTCCGGTAAAGGGGTATTTTTCGTGCGACAAAGTCCGGTCCGAGAATTGTAAAAAAAAAGGGGTGTATTGGACTTTTCACCCGGAGATTTCTTTGTTTTTCTTTTTTTCTCTCATCTCTTTGGACTCCTGAGAAATTATTCCGAATTTAGGGGGGTACATTGAGTATTTTCCGGTATTTAGGGGGGTCTCCAAGGCAGAGAAAGCCTGCGAAAGGGGGGTTCGGAAATGTTGGCAGTCCTCAGATAGGGGGTGCTTTCAAAAAGAGGGAACGAGCATACGCGTACCGGGTACGCGTATGCTCGTTCCCTCTTTTTGAAAGCACCCCTACCCTAAATAACACTGAGTTTGGGGGGGGGGGGCGGGATCCAAGATCGCATCAGTGGAAAAACCACTGACCGCAGTGTAGTGGGAGAGAACGCGCGCTTGCTGTGCATGTGTACGTGTGTGTACGTTTGGGAACGATGCGTTCAATCTAGTGTGATAGAAGAAAAATAAAAACAAAGGACGTAGTGAATCTGGCACCATAAGTTACCAGGCCATCTGCCGATTTTTTTTCTTCTTCGAGGGTACACCACCATTACACCGATCCACAGACAGGCATGGTAGAATGTTAAAAATCGGTGAAAATAGGGACAACAATCGAGGTGAGATTACATTTACAACAAAAGACAAGTTCACTTTATTATGGCAGCTGGCAGCGGCAGCGACCGGTGACCCGGGCCCTGGATTTTTCCTTCAGCGGCCTAGAGCTCGGCTGTGCTCGGTGTGCATGCAAGCGCTTCTCTCGAAAGGGTTGCACCTGTCTTCTCGGGCGCAGGCTTGCAACCATACTCCATAGCTCAACAAAAACACCACTGCAATCGTTTCATTTCCCGTTAGAATGTGTACATGTATGTACATCATGTGTGTAAATATTATCATATGCCCTTACCCTTAATTATCATTAAGATCGATCTTTTTGAGAATATATATCGAATTTGTTGTTTTTATGTATTAAATTTATATTTTTGTAATATCTTCATTGTTATTGTTCACGTTTGAATATTTCACAGTTATAATTTTTTTGTTTGTTGGTAAAATGAATTTGTTGATAAATATATAGTTGAACCAGCTAGGAGAGTGTTTTCTCCCAATCTTAACATGGTAGCAGAAGAGGATCCAGGATTTCTTGGGGGGGGGGGGGGGCAAATTTGAAATTTTGGGGTAGTGAGCATTAATTATGTTTTCTTGACCCTTGAAAATTTGAAAAAAATTGCACCCCCCCCCCCCATCCCTTGAGTGCCGGGGGGGGGGGGCATCTAAAAAAAATAGGTAAAATTAACGCTTGTTTTTACACATTTTTTCCAGGGGGGGGGGGGCGCCTGGATCCGCCACTGCATGGTAGCATCCGTAAATAACAGTTATTTACAATTTTACCATATGACATGTGATAGAAATATAAATTCTTTGAATTAAGCTGCAGGATTGATTGAAAATGTGACTGACCTTTGCAAGCATGCTCATGTCATTTCTAACTATATATTTCTTTTCAATTTTTTTCAGTTGGATTGACGCGTTTGACCGAGTGAAGTCGATGCTGAGGGCAGGATAATTTATAGAAGAATTTTCACCCATATTTTTATCAGCATGTCTGCAGGTATATCGTGCATGACATCCCATAGGAAAGAAATGAGCCTGCCGCATACTCCTGCGGCAGACCTGCCGCAGACAGTCATCTTTTTCACATGCAAATTAGTTTTGCCGCAGACTTGCCGCAGACTTGCCGCATACTCTTTCAGTATGATGAAGAGTCTGCGGCAGGTCTGCCGCAGACTTGCTGCAGACTTGCCGCATACTCTTTCAGTATGATGAAGAGTCTGCGGCAGGTCTGCCGCAGACTTGCTGCAGACCTGCCGCACACTCTTTCAGTATGATGAGGAGTCTGAGGCAGGTCTGCCGCAGACTTGCCGCATACTCATTCAGTATGATGAAGAGTCTGCAGCAGGTCTGCCGCAGACTTGCTGCAGACTTGCCGCATAATCTTTCAGTATGATGAAGAGTCTGCGGCAGGTCTGCAAGTCTGCGGCAAAACTAATTTGCATGTGAAAAAGATGACTGTCTGCGGCAGGTCTGCCGCAGACTTGCTGCAGACCTGCCGCATACTCTTTCAGTATGATGAAGAGTCTGCGGCAGGTCTGCCGCAGACTGCCGCAGACTTGCTGCAGACTTGCCGCATACTCTTTCAGTATGATGAAGAGTCTGCGGCAGGTCTGCCGCAGACTTGCTGCAGACCTGCCGCAGACTCTTCATCATGAATATTCATATCTCATATAGACCTGCTGCAGACCTGCCGCATACTCTTTCATATCCAGTACGTGGCAATAAAGTATGCATGTAGAAGAACCAGTGATAAACTGATTGATACTTTATAATCGATATTGGCAATATTGATATTACCAATTAGGTAATACCAATAGATATCGATATTACCAATTAGGTATATTCTATTCTCAATTGTATTAACTTCATCACATTGATCATTTGAAGTGTATTCAAGAGTAACATTTAAAGTGACACAGGCTCGTACACATATATATACTAAATATGTATATTGTTTCTTGGTTAGTAATCATAGTTTCTTCGTTAGTAATCAATATATCTATTGCTTAAACGTGAATGTAATTGTAACATGATCAGACAAAATAATCTATTGGTTAATAATGGCAAAAGGAAAATAGAAATCACAAAAATGATGTGCATTGTCTTAATTTGCTTAACAAATCATGATAAATGTATTTTTCTGTCACACGTGTAAAGTAATAATGAATATGCATGAGATGATTGGTTTCAATTGGCCCTATTAGACTTTAATGGGATTTCCTGTGGCAGACCTGCCGCAGACTGTTCTTGTGGTGTACTGGTATGCGGCAAGTCTGGAGCAAAGTTTCGCCCTGCCGCAGATCTGCCGCAGACTGTTCCTGTGGCTTACTAGTATGCGGCAAGTCTGGAGCAAAGTTTCATCCTGCCGCAGATCTGCCGCAGACTGTTCCTGTGGCATACTAGTATGCGGCAAGTCTGCAGCAAAATTTCATCCTGCCGCAGATCTGCCGCAGATCTGCCGCAGACTGTTCCTGTGGCATACTAGTATGCGGTAAGTCTGGAGCAAAGTTTCATCCTGCCGCAGATCTGCCGCAGACTGTTCCTGTGGCATACTAGTATGCGGCAAGTCTGCAGCAAAATTTCATCCTGCCGCAGATCTGCCGCAGACTGTTCCTGTGGCATACTAGTATGCGGCAAGTCTGGAGCAAAGTTTCATCCTGCCGCAGATCTGCCGCAGACTGTTCCTGTGGCATACTAGTATGCGGCAAGTCTGCAGCAAAATTTCATCCTGCCGCAGATCTGCCGCAGACTGTTCCTGTGGCATACTAGTATGCGGCAAGTCTGGAGCAAAGTTTCATCCTGCCGCAGATCTGCCGCAGACTGTTCCTGTGGCATACTAGTATGCGGCAAGTCTGGAGCAAAGTTTCATCCTGCCGCAGATCTGCCGCAGACTGTTCCTGTGGCATACTAGTATGCGGCAAGTCTGCAGCAAAATTTCATCCTGCCGCAGATCTGCCGCAGACTGTTCCTGTGGCATACTGGTATGCGGCAAGTCTGCAGCAAAATTTCTTTCTGCCGCATACTTCGGCATACTCTTTGCCGCAGACTAAAAGTCTGCGGCAGGTCTGCGGCAGATCTGCGGCAGGTCTGCGGCAGGTCTGCGGCATACTTTTCACTTTCCTATGGGATTTTCCACTTGAAATAGTTTTTATTTTAGTTGATATATATTGATATTTTAATGATGATGATGATGATTCTGAAAGTTAAAGCGCCTTCACACAAACTTTATTTGTGGAGGTGAAAAAACAGAAAACAATCTCGCCATGTAAACCCACATGATGGTGATGATGATGATGTTTATCATCATTATTGTTATTATTATAGTTATCATCATCATGATCATGATCATCATCATCATCAATTCATCATCATCATCATCACGTACCACCACCACCACCACCATCATCATCATCATCATCATCTTCGTCACCACCACCACCACACCACCATCATCATCATCATCATCATCATCGTCATCATCATCATCATCATCGTCAACATCATCATCATCATTATCATCATCATCATAATTTGTAATTACATTTGTGAAGAACAAGCTATCAAATTTGATGACAAATCGTATTTGCGAAATCTGTTAGTCAGTATGATCTTTGTAGTTCTTGAAGAATGCCTTTTGTTGCCTTTGAACAGAAAAACCTACGGGTACAGCATATTCATTTAAAGACTAAAGTGAATTGTGCTTTTATTGTAACACACTTTCTGTGATATGCTTTAATGTAGGGAAGAAAAAAGGTCGTCAGAGTTGGACATCAGAAGACTGGGATGCAGAATTCAAAGCAGCGAGCCAGAAACTTGCTCAAGACCTAGGACTCGATCAACCCAAGCAAAAACGCAAAAAGGATTCAGTGTGGGTCTATAATAGACCAGATCCTGAAACTGGGCTTATCAAAAAAAGGTCAAAAGAGAGAAAAGCCCCAAAGAAAAGTAAGTAGTTATTATTATATTTATATTTAAAGCTTTGACATGAATTCACATACTATAAGAAACAAATCAAAATTATTCCAGCACCTGCCGTTATCAAAGTCAAGTGCAGGTGATGTTTTTCGTTTCATACATATCTCATGGTTACATGTATATATCTATAGTTCTCCTTAGAACTATATGCTAAGAAAGATAACAAACAGTCCTTTTCAGGACTACCACACCCCCAAGAAAGATTACAGAGTCAGAGTCCTTTTCAGGACTCCTCAGCCCTCTCTCTCTCTCTCATGGTACACCCGCAAACCTACTGTATATATCTTATGGTGTTTACAACTTTCAATTGCAGTTTATAACGGAAAATTACCTTTCTATTGACTCAGTTATTTGATTTAGAATTTGCGACTCGGTTTGTAACATGTCGTCATAAATCGTAATACTGTCTTACTTTTCCACCAGAAGGGAAATCAAAGGCTCAACTTCAAGTGCCACAGATGGAAACTCTGCATGGTATTTATTTTCCTTTTTTCCCCATTACAATTAAATATTCTAGTAACATATGACATGAGTCATCGGTTTCAAATCAGTTCTTTTGGTATTATAGTATACAAATATACACTGTCTTGAGAGGTTCTGGTTAAAACTATGCGCAAGAGGTGAGAAAAAGTGGTTAATGTTGTTGCTGAGCACTTGGGCCTTAAGGAGATAAGTCTATGTTTTTACTAGGACATTTTTCAGAACATTTTTATATCAAATACTCAGTTTGGCAAAATATGGAGTTACGTCTTTGTGTCACTGAACCCTCGACTTGTATAATTTTCTTACCTTTCGTGTCTGTCTATCTTAACAAGCAAAAACATAAATGTTCATTTTGTTCAGGTCACGTAGTGGAGGACGCACCATATTACCACCAGGGGGATGAAGTGTTTCTAGAAAGTTCTGGGCAATCAGGTATGTGTCATACACCATGAGTGTACCATTGTTTATCAGTTTGTCTATTACTTTAGGAAATTGTTATGACTGTCTTGTTGTTGGTTTCGAGAAACGGGCCCAAGGCCTCGAGAAACGGGCCCAAGGCCTTTACGTTAAGCCTCCCGATTTTCTCGCGATGGCTGGCTGGTCTATATAGGTTTAAAAAAGTTGCATCCTAATTTAAGGATTACGCCATCTTTGGCTGGTAGCGAGTAAGAAGGGGGAGGCCGCATTGCGTTGTTGTGGTACGGTGGAGATCAAAATTATATCGGCCAGATTCTGGACTACTACCGAACCAGACACCAGTTGATCAGAACAACTGATATGTTGCCGTAGTTTCATGTTTACATTGATTCGTGAATATACTTTTATTATAATATCGTACTGTAAAACCCTCCTCCTGTTCTCCGACTGATGCAATTATGGTAGAATGCTGAAAATCTATGAAAATAGTCAAAATTGACCACTTTTTAGTTTTGCAATGGACCTCTGGATGTAACTGACAGGACACTAATGTGTTTGCTGCCATCTATTGGCCTAGTAGTAAGGTCAGAGCATTTGTGTACAGATGGCTGCCTCCATGGAGTCACTCTTGTGCAACTGAACGAACTGGTGATTGCAGGTCAATTTATCCTATTTTGGATCAAATTTATTGTTGGAACCTGTGTTTGAAGTAATAAATATGCCCAGAAAAGGAAATCACTGCTATTACATATTTCCTTATAATTTCCTTTATAATAATTATCTCTGAATTAGAAATTAAAAATTTGCATATAATTTGCATATTAAATGAGATACATAAATTTCTCAAAAAGATTTAGATTCTCCATTGTCTCACTCTCAGCTTTCCAGAAATATATGGTCAATAGGAGTTTACAATAATAAAAAATGAATGATTTCTTCAGAATTCTTGATCGATATGCATTTCAGTGTACATGTATTTTACAGTTCAATTAATACTGTGAATGATTTTTTTTTTTTTTTTTCCAGATAAAATCAAAGAAGAAAAGATGGACAGTGCAATGGACAATGGTCTCTGTTTCAAGCCTTCCATGTCTGTGCAAATTTGTAAACAAGAAGGTAAGACTGTTTTGTCATGATGTATGAGTTTATTGCTGTTTGGTCTACAACCAGTTGGTCTATTCCCATATGTTCTACACCTACTTATCATTTGGTCTAATGACCATTTAAGCTTAAAGTCATTTGGTCTAATCACCATTTGGTCTAATCTCCAATAAGTCTACTACCCATTTTGGTCTATTGGTCATTAAGTCTAATTTCCAGTTATAGCCCAATGCCTATTTTGTATACTATCCATATGGTTAATAATCGTGTAATCATAAATAATGATAATCCTCAATTCGAAAAAGAAGTAGGCCTAGTAGCCTAAAGCCCACCACATACTAAATGATCCTCCTTCGATCCGATATTTGAATGAATGGCAATTATATTAGATCTGGGAATCTAAATCAACATCATCCTTTTCATTTAAGTTCTAAGTAATGATAGGAATACTAACAACTGGAATTTTAGTGCATTTAAGCCTTCAAGTCAGAATAAAAGCTGAATCGGCTTCAAATCCCTAGATCCCCTGGGGGGCGTTTCATGAAACAATTAGTCGGTGGTTTTCACCGACTAATATCATGTTCACCGACAATTCTTTTGTCACCGACTATTTTCCAGGCCTGTGATTGGTTAAATTTAGTCAGCGCTGACTAAATTGTCGGTGAACATGATATTAGTCAGTGAAAACCACCAACTAATTGTTTCATTAAACGACTCCCAGATGTCACTACAATTCTGAGCCGGTTTTGTGTTTCCTTCTTTAAGGAAGCTTGATCAAAATCCATTGGATTTCAGAGATTACTAATCATATGATTATCCAGATCCTTGATCATTAAAGTAATCACCCAAAGAAAATTGACGACAACTGACAATTATGGACAAGTTATATATAGATGGAAAGATTTTCTCTTGAAAAACACGAATAATTTGCTGAAAAATCATATACATGTGGAGATATCATGGAAAGGCCTAATATGCCATTTTGTGGCTAGCTGTTCCTCACATGGGACGTCACGAATCTTGGCGCTCTACGGAGGACCGTTAAAGACAGAAAATATGGATCTCAAAATTAACATTTTTGAGAGTTGATTACTGCGGGCCCCAAATATTTTGAAGAGGGAAGTTGTTATATTTGATCAGTAAGGCTTCCCCTTCGCATTGATATGAATTTGTCATCAATTCAAAACACTTTTGATTCTTCAGGTAACTAAGGTTTTTGAAGTTTTAATGTTCACATCAAATGCTATTGCAAGTTTTTCTAAAATCGGATTGTAGTCAGATATAGTACGTAGGGTGCTGAAAGGGGAGTTTTGCATATAAGTAGAAATTTGATTCTCGACCGAGATTAAAAGTAATCATATGCTATTATGTTTAAATTGATTTTTATTTTTCAGTTGTCATCAAAATCGAGAAAGATGACTATGTGGATGGTGACAGCCAATGTCCAATGCTACAAAGTGGACAAGAAGGTAATCATTGTCCCAAAGTTCTCATCATTTCCTGGAGCATCACTTACATGTACACTATGAACATGACAGACAAAGAAAGAGGACAAAATATACAGTTCCTCATTCTGTGTTGCTGTGGTAGACAAAGGAACATCCCTTCACTGCTATTATGTAAAAATGTGTAGAACAGGTGTCACATGCATATTCACCTGTTCTACACATTTTTACATAATAGCAGTCAAGGGATGTTCATTTGTCTACAACAGCAATTGTGGAGGGTAGAATGAGGACCTGTATATTTTGTCCTCTTTCTTTGTCCGTCATGCTCATAGTGTCAGATATGATGCAGTAAACCATGATAGTTTTTGTTTATATATAATGCCATTGATGTGTAATGGGCTTCATATTTCTGTATCTTCCTACAGAGCCTATGAAAAGAGCTCAAGTTAATTATATTAATTATTTATTTATTATTTATTATATTAAACATATGTAACAAAACAACAACCATGGTTTATCACTTTATATCTTATCTTATCTTATCATAATTAAGAGCCCCACTGCACTACTTACAGGGATGCCAGTTTTCAGGCAATTGCTTGAATTCAGGCCGTGGCGAGGTATTTTCAGACCATAGTTTAGGCTTTTTCAGTGTGTACAAAATAGCTCATTCTAGGTGATTTACAGGCCCTCTCATAAATTCTAACTAACTGGCATCCCTGTACTTATACATGTAGCTACTTGCACCCTCTATATATAGCAAACAATGCCCAAGCGGTACCCGTTGTTCCCCCATGATCCCCTTTTGCTTATGTTATTTGAGAGCTGATTTGATGAGATAACCACCTGTCAGTGACCATGCAGGGAGGTCTAATCCCTCCTGGCCAAACTAGTGCAGATAGGCTTTAAGATGGTGTTCGTAGGTTGGGAACCCAGAGAGAATAGACCCGTTTGTAGTTAGCTCGGGGTACAAATGGCCCCAAATATCCATTGATCTGTTGCACGTGGAGTAGTCCCACTTTGTGCATTTTAGAATAATCTCTGCCAAAGTCATGGACGTGCTTTATGAACACCATAATGTGAAATATGCCAAGTATGGGATTTAAAAAAATACAATTTAGGTTTGTTCACATTGCAGTCCCTCTTTCTTGATTTTATATATTTTCCAAATGTTTTCATGCATTTTTTCTTGTGTGTGTGATGTGTTCTTGTCATAGGAAGCCTTCTGATCGACAAAGAAGAGAAGGTGGTGTTCCAGAGAAGTGATGGATTCAAGATTTACTTCATCAAACAAGAACCCAAGGAAGAGGTTTGCCATCAACAGACTGGTAAGGACAAATTAATACTTCATCTTCTTCTTCTACCTCTTTGAATTATTGTTATTATGTGTATGCCTCCGCTACAAAGTAGCCGGAGGCAGTAGCTGGAGCCTGGAGGCATTTATGTTTTGGGCTTGTCCATTCGTCTGTCTGTACATACATCCGTACGTATGTCCCGTTCTCGTGATCACGTTATCTCAAGAACCGATTTATGGATTACCCCCAAACTAGGGTCATGTATGTAGCTAACAGAGCCAATGAACTGATTAGATGTTGGGTCATGAGGTCAGCTGCCACAAGGCTCATTATGAATGAAAAATAGCTTGCGAACCCATTATCATTAGAACCGGCAGAAAGATGATTTTTAAAATCAGGACATGTACCCGTATGTATCTGGCAGAGCCAATGAACTGATTAGATTTTAGGGTCATGAAGTCAAAGATAGAAGGGTCATACATTTATATGAAAAATAGCTTGTAATCAGGATATTCTGAGAACCTGTTAATGGATTACAATCAAACTTGAATTTCAAAAATTGCTTCTGTTTTGGTTTGTAAAATGGCTCTATGGTGGAGACATCATTTCATCATCGGATCAGATCCATCTAGTTATTATTTTATTATTTTTTGTTTTTGTTACAGGCATGATATTCTGTTATTTTGTAAATATATTTGAGTATTTAAATCCAATAGAACTTGAACATTTTAAGTCTGTGAGGTGGTCGAGAACTCGAAATCAATGACAGACAAATCCTGTGAGAGGGCCAAGCAAAGAGTCTTTATTAGTAGTAACCAGTAACAGACACATTACATATCACTAATGCCGATAATCATGGAGATCATGCATTCCCCAAAACAAGTCATGTTATCAAATATTAAACGAGTAAATTTGCCCTTTAAAAACCAATTGCCACAGTACAATGTAGCTGAAACTCTCAACATTAACACAGGTAAATACCTGACCCAAATACTTAAACAACTGGAAGTAACAGTCAATATAAACCTCATATAAAGCAATACATTCACATATTTGGATAAACCAACACACCAAGCTAGGTTTAATAACCTTATCATGTGACCTCAATATCACTACTTAATTCTTGTTCAATAAACTATACCTTTAACTTGTACATTGTAATATTAAGACAATGCAAATATCCTAATAACATAAACTTAAATAGGGCTATCCTGGTTCCCCCTTTTCACAGTAAGCACATATTAAAGAATGAATAATGAAACTAACAATATATCATAATAATGGAACAAAGACAAAATATCTCTGCTTTTAAATATCAGAATATCCCAAGTCCTGAAACATTGATAAATCCTGGAAACTATAAATCTCCTTATATCTGCATCAAATACAACTTTCATCAACCAATCCAATTCAAATATTTATCTTCCATACTTTTCTTGCTTCCAAACAAACTCCAATAATCTCCTGGTCTAACCCTAAACATTGCTCTTACTCCTATTATTCCATCTCAATTTAACATGTAACAATATTCTTTTATAGCAATCTGCAAAATGAGAAATAAGGTTTACAATGATAGAGGGCGCTAGAAACCCTAAAATACATAGTCAGACAAAGTTCGATCTTCACTGTTTGAAGTGCCATAATTAATATCCCCTAGCTTAGCAACCAAAATACAAACAACATGCAATACTTTTAAACACTCAACTTCTATTATAAGCACTTCTTTTCTATGCTCCCTACCGTTCTTACTGACCTCATTCCTAAACCAAGACTTATACTCATCACATCAATTAGAGCGTACCCTGGTCCTGGTCCTGGCTCTGGGACCAGGCACAACATTAGCGCGCACGCACTACACCCAATTTTGGTACCGCGCGTTCAACTTATTAGTGTACATAACCATGTACTACAATGTAAATGCATATAACAAATCAAAGCGCTAAGCATCACACAGTTTAACATTAAATCCTCGTCTCCAATATAATCATATCAACCCACATGATACATCAAAATAACTACTGAAATCGTTCTGACACAATACACATATGTACATAACAAATCTCTAGCATAACGATATTAATATTTACTAAACATAACAGTGGTTCAAGTTTGGTCAACTCACCTGTGAGAGGGCCAAGCAAAGAGTGCCGGCTTGTCTCAGCACTCCGCCCACTACAGGTCACATGGTAATTTCCTAACCCCTTACAAGTCCATCAGAAGGCAGAAGCTTCAGGGGACGTTGTTCTCCTGAACCCCCTCTAGGCGCTCTGCCCCTGGGAACTGGCCAATGATGTCTATTTGGAGGTCCTATGTACATGTAATATTATCCCTGTTACTATTATTGTTATTATTATTACCCTGTATGAAAAAATGCCATCTTGTCAACGATTTGTGCATTTTCACCAGGTCCCTGTTCCAGAGGAGACATGGCCTTGGAACAAAGTAGTTTACAACAATGGACTTTGGAAGCTCAACCAAGGGAGGAGACTGAGGTTGTAGATCCCAAACAAGATTCTGTCAAAGAAGCAGAGGGAGTACAGGCTGCATCTCAAGTTTCTTCTGGGGGTTGTATAAATGTCGTCAAGGAATCGAGGCAAAGGAACTCAGAACACGGTAGAAGTAAGCATGCTAAGCTGCCCAGTAATGTTGGGATGGGAAAGATCAAGGCAGAGGAAATAACTGAGAGTGAAGAAGGCAGTGAAGCAAACGTGGCTCCATCTTCAAAATCTGACGTAGCTATAGCTCAGGTTGAAGTCCCCGTTCCTAGGACATACGCATGTCCGATGTGCAGTCAAAGGTTTTCTAAGCGATATCACCTGAAAGAACACAAGTATAGGATACATTCAGGAGAGAGACCTTACGAATGCCCTCAATGTCAGGAAGGTTTCGTAAGACTGAGGGATCTGGAGTACCACTTCAAAATACGCCACAGGAGCATTTACAAAACGACCTGTGAATGCGGGGATATATTAACCGATAAGCAACTCGACGGCCATAGGAGAACATGCAGGGGAAAGAAGTTGAATCAGTGTGCTCAATGTGAGAACCAAATTCCTGGAGGGATGGATCTGACCCAACTCAAGACGGTACACGATGCAGAAAGGCCGTATTGTTCTGGATATGTGAAGATTTTACCTCTAAATGCTGCTCTATCAATTAGATGTGAGACAAAACAACCCAATGTTAACCCACATGATTGTTTGAATAGCACAAGGCAGGGACTCAGCAATTCAGAAAATGGCATAAAGAATAGCCTTGAACAAGGGTTGTCTTTGAGTGTTCCCGTAGGAGGAATTGATAGAGAAGAACTGAATGAAAATCGACAGAAGAGTGTACCGGTAAATGACAAAAGACTTAGCAAATCTGAGAATGGTGCAAGTTGTACAGAAAATGCAAAGTTGATCAATGATGTACCCGAGTCAAACCTCACTGCAAGAGAATGTGAGGCAGAAGAGGGCAAAGAATCAAGTATTATTCTACCTTCAGGGTCTAACACCATTAGACTTGGGAAAGGAGTTTTTAAACCGTTTGCATGTTCTGAATGTAACCAAGGCTTTTATCATCAAAGTTGGCTTGTTGATCATTTAAGGAGGCATCATGCTGGTATTTACAATAGGCTGGGTTTGTGAATGTGGAGAGGGATTTCGTTCAGAGGAAGCATTCACCATCCATTAGACATACCTGCCAACCCTCCCGAAAAATCCAGATTTCATTTATTTATTTTTTATCTTTTCATTATTTTTTTTGTTGCCAAATTAGGCTTGTTTTATCATTTGCCGCGGTTTGGGAGTTCACGTATTGAGTGCCTTGAATAGCTGCATGATTGAGCAGCGAATTTGTATTCGCTTTTTGGTACAGATTTACCGCGTATTGCAAGTTACACTGCCGCTGCAAGTGCGATTTCTTATTTTCGAAGGCATACCGTGCTAAAAATTCCTAATTCTTATTTTCAAATGTTGGCCCTGAAGACAGAAAGATGTGCTCTAAAATAAAAAAGAAGTTTAGATAGTTTGGTCACCTGAAAGATCATATGTACATGTATACACATACTGGTAAAAAATACTTTTGAATGATCTACAATCTAAAAGCCCCCCCCCCCCAAAAAAAATAAATAAATAAAAAATAAATAAATAAATAAATAAATAAATAAATAAATAAATAAATAAATAAATAAATAAATAAATAAATAAATAAATAAATAAATAAATAAATAAATAAATAAATAAATAAATAAATAAATAAATAAATAAATAAATAAATAAATAAAAAATCCAATGAAGGCCACTTGTGCACCATTAGATAAAACATCATAGGGTTGGTTTCGACAAGGTTTTTGAATGTGGAAAGTGGTTTTCTTCCGAATCTGAAGTCATTACTCACAAGAAAACACATGACACAGGTCACAAGCAAGCCCACAGACTTTGTTGTGGCATCAACATCAAGATTTTGAATTTTTAGCATACCGGCAATTTCAAAAGTATTTGTTCAAATTCCATGAAACTTGTATTGTACCCAAGGGATATCAAGTATCACAAATCATATGACACAACGTCAAGGTCACAAATCAAGGTCAAAGGCAATTTTAGGTCAGTACACTTGGATTATGTTTTTACAACTTTATGTGACAATGAATAAATCATTGTTATTTGCTCATATTTCATTAAAGTTATCAATCTTGGTACAAATAATAGTAAATAATTCTTCTTCTGATTCTTAGTCAATAGTCACTTCAAAATGCTAATTATATAATATTCAGAGGATTTTTTTTTTTTTTGGGGGGGGGGGGGGAAGGGGGGGGGGGTAGGGCCCTCCTTATGCGCCACCCTGCCTATAAATAATGTCCCAACCTCAATTTGTTATCATATAGAATTGCGTAATGCAGGCGAGACCGCCGAGAGCGTATCCCTTGTTGCATATCTGCAAATTCTTAAATTACTTACGTTTTCATTTCATTTTTTCACTCCAATACAAGCAATTGTACATGATCATAATTATCTTAGGAAACTATGTAAAAGATCCCTATACAGTGTGAGTCAAAAAAAAGTTTACACCTAGAAGATTTTTGCATTCTCGCAAACAATGCCACCTGTTCATCCAAGCCTGAACACATACCACACAAAAATGGTACCAAATGATTAGGGATAAAACACGCTTTCATATTAAAGATGTATAATAATTTACTGTTCATAGATGATTTTAAAAATAATTAGCAATTTTCTAGGTGTAAACTTTTTTTTGACTCACATGGTATAGTTGTTTATGAAAATTGTTTTGATACAGTATTTGACATTGCAGTGACAGTGAGTGCACTTGCACATGAAGCTGGAGTGTGATGTAAACATGACTCTTTATATTTATGTACCGGTATTACTCTACTGTTCACTTTATTCTAAAAAAAGAATGAAGAATTATCACTCTGTGTGTTTTTATCTATACAAGTTCATTTTTATGTTGTGATGGGAAAGAACATAGCAAATGTTTCTATGATGTAGTCTGTATGTGATGTACTTAACCGTGCACTTGACTGCTATTGGCTTAAAACGCGCGGCATACCCCCTGTGCTACAGCATTTTTGTACTGTTCAAAAAGGGTACACTGTACACGAAAAGGCCAGATTTTTTTTGAAAGAGCGCCATCTACTGTTCAAGACCTGTATAACATCATTGCAGTGCTAATTAGTATGTAGTGGTACGGTCTTGAAAGTGCAATGCCCTAACCACGTACATGTAGATCTACGTGGTGCGCACAGGGCATGTACATGTACGTGGCCCGCAGTCAAGTGGTTAAGCAAATTGTTCCACAAAATACGGGAGTTTACAGATACAATCTGCGCATGGGCAGATAAAGGTCATTTGTACCAAAATGGTAAAACCCACAGAGATGAATACTGGATATGCGCTCATGAAAGTTATGTAACATTATTCATTTATGCACCAACGGTACATTCTATGATACACAGGTGGATGTATTCTTTTCAAGAGGTCAAACAAAACGTATTCATGAATTACATCTAGGACTTTGGCAGTTATTATTCTAAGATGCTCAAAGTGGAACTTCTCCATGTGTAAAAGATCTGTGGATATTTGGGGTCATTTATACCATGTGCTATTTGTAAACTCCCTTATAGACATAATTATGTCATAATCACAACCCAATCAGGGAATGTACCCTTATGTAATGTATCTGTGATATGGTGTAATATATCGAAGCCCCAGTATAAAGAATTGCGCTTCAAAATGATCATGAAGTACCTCAAAATAGTAAAACTATTTGAGTGACCGGTTTATCATACGGTACTCATTTTGCCCCAATATACTGTAGTGTTAGAAAAACCGTAAGAAAAAGTAAAATGAAGTTTTGATTTCCAATCATAAATATCTTGATAGTCAGACAGGCGATCGGCTTGTAAAAGTCATGGGATTCCTGACTGACCTAAAGGTTTATAATTACGCTTGCAGCATGGGAAAAATCCAGGATTTTATTACAGAATCCGAGGCAATATTAGCGAGTCATTTTAAGGGTGTTAGATAAGTTTGTCTCTGGTTCTAAACAATATCCTAGATTTAGTTCGTGCTGCAATCATTATTATAAACCTTTATGTCAGAAATAAATCCCATGACTTTTACAAGCCAATCGCATGTTTGATTGTCAAGATATTTATGATTGGAATTTAAAATTTCAGAAACAGTTTTGTTATAACACTACAGTCTATTGGGGGAAATGAGTATGGTAAATCGATGACTCAAAAATTTCTACTTTTTTGAAGCACTTCATGATCATTTTGAAGAGCAATTTTTGTTAGGGCTTCAATATTACAGCGTATCACAGACATCACATGATTTTGACTGATTAAGAAAGATAAAAAAATATGTAAAATTACTTTGAATCGATGTATTACAGTGACAATGAATAGATAAAATATATCTAGATTGCCACCACTGGTATGTCCCGTTTTAAAACGACATTACTCGTAAATGTATTAAATCGAAGACAGAAAATCAGAAACAATGTTCTTGTACATGTAAGTTTCTTTTTCTGGATAACGTTGCATTCCTCTTGCCTTTTTTAATGTATTTTTGCCATCGCAGACATGCTTGCCTCAGGAGTAAACTCAATAAAAAATTACTTCTTTTTGTTATTGAAATGTGCTGAATGGTCCTGTTAAATATATTTCGTGAAACAATGCCTTTAAAAGCAAATTTGCTCTCAGATTCTGACAAATAATTTATGATTTTTACTGATTAAGGAAGATAACAAAATATTTAAAAGTAGCCTTGAATAAATGTATTACAGTGGCACTGAATAGATAAAAAAATATCTAGATTGCCATCACTGATATGTTCCGTTTTAAAACAACATTACTTTTAAATGTATTAAATCAAAGTAAGATAATCAGATACAATGTTCTTGTGCATGTAAGTTTTTTTCTGGATAACTTTGCATTCCTCTTGCCTTTGTTAATGTATTTTTGCCATCGCAGACACTCTTGCCTCAGCCAGAGTTAACTCAATATAAATCCTTTCTTTGTAATTGAAATGTGCTGAATGGTCCTGTTATATTTTTTCATGAAACAATGCCTTTAAAAGCAAATTTGCTCTCAGATTCTGACAAATAATTTATGATTTTGACTGATTAAGGAAGATAACAAAATATTTAAAAGTAGCCTTGAATAAATGTATTGCAGTTGCACTGAATAGATAAATATATCTAGATTGCCACCTCTGATATGTCCTGTTTTAAAACAACATTACTCGTAAATGTATTAAATCGAAGACAGAAAATCAGATACAATGTTCTTGTGCATGTAAGTTTTTATGTGGATAACGTTGCATTCCTTTTGCGTTTTTTAATGTATTTTTGCCATCGGCAGACGCCCTTGCCTCAGGAGTGAACTCAATAAATGTACTTTCGTTGTAATTGAAATGTGCTGAATGGTCCTGTTAAATATATTTTGTGAAACAATGCCTTTAAAAGCAAATTTGCTCTCAGATTCTGACAAATAATTTATGATTTTTACTGATTAAGGAAGATAACAAAATATTTAAAAGTAGCCTTGAATAAATGTATTGCAGTTGCACTGAATAGATAAAAAAATATCTAGATTGCCATCACTGATATGTTCCGTTTTAAAACAACATTACTTTTAAATGTATTAAATCGAAGACAGAAAATCAGATACAATGTTCTTGTGCATGTAAGTTTTTATGTGGATAACGTTGCATTCCTTTTGCCTTTTTTAATGTATTTTTTGCCATCGCAGACACCCTTGCCTCAGGAGTGAACTCAATAAATATACTTTCTTTGTAAATGAAATGTGCTGAATGGTCCTGTTAAATATATTTCGTGAAACAATGCCTTTAAAAGCAAATTTGCTCTCAGATTCTGACAAATAATTTATGATTTTGACTGATTAAGGAAGATAACAAAATATTTAAAAGTAGCCTTGAATAAATGTATTGCAGTTGCACTGAATAGATAAATATATCTAGATTGCCACCTCTGATATGTCCTGTTTTAAAACGACATTACTCGTAAATGTATTAAATCAAAGACAGAAAATCAGATACAATGTTCTTGTGCATGTAAGTTTTTATGTGGATAACGTTGCATTCCTCTTGCCTTTGTTAATGTATTTTTGCCATCGCAGACACCCTTGCCTCAGGAGTGAACTCAATAAAAAGTTCTTTCTTTGCAATTGAAATTTGGAACTGAATTGTGTTGTTAAATATTTTCCATGCCCTACAGTGTTTTTTCTTATACAGTCAAACCTCCTCATAAAGAACACTGATGTAACACACACTTGTTAAAAGAACGTAATTTATCTGCTCCAAATTTTGAGTAGTTTATATATTTCTAGCCCTGAACATGATGGCAACCTTATTTCTTT